TTATGACAGGTAATTAACACACATGAATTTGCCATTTTGACAGGTAATTAACACACATGAATTTGCCATTATGACAGGTAATTAACACACATGAATTTGCCATTATGACAGGTAATTAACACACATGAATTTGACATTATGACAGGTAATTAACACACATGAATTTGCCATTATGACAGGTAATTAACACACATGAATTTGCCATTATGACAGGTAATTAACACACATGAATTTGCCATTATGACAGGTAATTAACACCACATGAATTTGCCATTATGACAGGTAATTAACACACATGAATTTGCCATTATGACAGGTAATTAACACCACATGAATTTGCCATTATGACAGGTAATTAACACCACATGAATTTGCCATTATGACAGGTAATTAACACACATGAATTTGCCATTTTGACAGGTAATTAACACACATGAATTTGCCATTATGACAGGTAATTAACACACATGAATTTGCCATTATGACAGGTAATTAACACACATGAATTTGCCATTATGACAGGTAATTAACACACATGAATTTGCCAAGTACAATAACAACAGACTAGTTGACATTTTCTGTCCTTGGGCTAAAGTCTACCTAGTGGTATAAAGTAACATTCACACAGTTGATGTCCTAAACTTGCATGTGGTCATCTTTACTGCCCATTGTGATTACATACTGTTAGATGTTAGATTCTGTGTTGACATCGTTGTACAGACCTTGACCAACAGCAGCTGTATGGTAAGCTATATATGATATGTATTATAATGGTAAAAGAAATGGTAAAGTTATGTTTATGATTTGTGTATTGTTACATTATGATTATATGAATACAGTGGAAGCCACTTAATGTCACATCAGTTAATATCACTTTCCGGTTAATATCAAGTTTTCTTAAAACAAAAAAATAAGAATGTAGTAATAATTGGTACATCAACTGTTGTAACATAATTGTATCATGTTTTGTGGTATGGTCAGTGTATATTGTAAATATAGTATGTTTATAATAATTATAGAAGTGATGGTTATTAAATCATCAAGTTTAAAGTCTGTGTGTGACTAAAGAAATGTCATGATATTGTCTGACCATATTCACAATATGATGTGTTTAACAATATAGTCTCACATTTTACACAATATGATATATTGTATGAGAATTTAGTCCAATATTTTACACATTATGATATATTGTATGAGAATTTAGTCCAATATTTTACACAATATATATTGATATATTGTATATTGAGAATTTAGTCCAATATTTTACACAATATGATATATTGTATGAGAATTTAGTTATTTTACAATATTATATACACAATATGATATATTGTATGAGAATTTAGTTCAATATTTCACACATTATGAGGACACGGTATAACACATTATTTAAAAAATTCAAAATTATCATTTTTATCTAATATGGACATTCATCTAATTACATACTAATGTGATAACTGTACAATGGCATTGATGAAAACATTTTTTTTTTCAAACTCTGTTGAAGGGTTATGACCAGTTGGCAGTGGTGGATCTGATGTGATATATGGTGTATGATTACATTTAGTTTAATTAGTAGGACTTTGTAATTATGACATATAAGAATTATTCTTTATGCATGTAGCATATCAGTTATTTACTTATTTAAATGGTAGGCTGGCCATACACAACTGTCACTTAAAACCTCTATAAACTATTATTATGACTTGACCGTATAGATCATGGTCAGATGTGTTAATTTCTTTTTGACAATCATTATGTCCAGGTCTGTGGAGAACTATTGAAGTTTAGAATGTTTGGTCTGAAAGGTCATGTTTTGGCTAGTACAATAATTCATAGTTTATGACAAGATATCTGTGTTATCACAACCTGTTGTTGGAAGGTTATTTCACTGCCACCTGCATGTTTTCTGTCACCACACAGATGTAAAACATGGATGTGTCATACATCCACTTGAAGTCTGATACAGGCTATCATTAGCTCAACTTTCATGACACAAGTATGAAATTAACTCAACAGTACATGCCTCTGGTACTCAGATTTACTCACTGAAATTGATTGAAGTTGACACATTTCATACTAAGTATAATATTTGCTCAATGGTACATGAAAAAAAGTTGATCCCTAACCCAGTGGAAAAAAGTTATGGTATGAACTCAATTGTACCAAACATAAGTTGACCACTAACTCAATGGTATCTTATATAAGAATACCACTGACTCAATGGTACTGACCTAAGTTAACCACTGACTCAATGGTATCTGACATCAGTTAACCACTGACTCAATGGTACCTGACATCAGTTAACCACTGACTCAATGGTATCTGATATAAGTATACCACTGACTCAATGGTACTGATATAAGTTAACCACTGACATAACAGTACATGACATCAGTTAACCACTGACTCAGTGGTATCTGACATCAGTTAACCACTGACTCAATGGTACCTGACATAAGTATACCACTGACTCAATGGTATCTGACATCAGTTAACCACTGACTCAATGGTACCTGACATCAGTTAACCACTGACTCAATGGTATCTGACATCAGTTAACCACTGACTCAATGGTACCTGACATCAGTTAACCACTGACTCAATGGTATCTGATATAAGTATACCACTGACTCAATGGTACTGATATAAGTTAACCACTGACATAACAGTACATGACATCAGTTAACCACTGACTCAGTGGTATCTGACATCAGTTAACCACTGACTCAATGGTACCTGACATAAGTATACCACTGACTCAATGGTATCTGACATCAGTTAACCACTGACTCAATGGTACCTGACATCAGTTAACCACTGACTCAATGGTATCTGACATCAGTTAACCACTGACTCAATGGTATCTGACATCAGTTAACCACTAACTCAATGGTATCTGACATCAGTTAACCACTGACTCAATGGTATCTGACATCAGTTAACCACTGACTCAATGGTACCTGACATCAGTTAACCACTGACTCAATGGTATCTGACATCAGTTAACCACTGACTCAATGGTACCTGACATCAGTTAACTACTGACTCAATGGTACTGATATGAGTTAACCAAATGACATAACGGTACATGACATCAGTTAACCACTGACTCAATGGTACCTGACATCAGTTAACCACTGACTCAATGGTATCTGACATCAGTTAACCACTGACTCAATGGTACCTGACATCAGTTAACCACTGACTCAATGGTACCTGACATCAGTTAACCACTGACTCAATGGTATCTGACATCAGTTAACCACTGACTCAATGGTATCTGACATCAGTTAACCACTGACTCAATGGTATCTGATATAAGTATACCACTGACTCAATGGTACTGATATAAGTTAACCAAATGACATAACGGTACATGATATCAGTTAACCACTGACTCAATTGTATCTTATATAAGTTAACCACTGACTTAATGGTATCTTATATAAGTTAACCACTGACTTAACGGTACATGACATGAATGTAACATAACTCAATATGGCATGACATAATGCTGAAATCTGAAATTGACTAAGTGGCATATAAATGAAGTGAAACAGTTAAAAGTTGATAAAACATTTTGTGGTATATATACGTATATATTTAGTGTTTGTTACTTATTATTATAATCTTAAGGATTGTACATACAGTAAATATGATAGAACATCTGAGGGCCTTTTACAAGGTCAGTTCTGTGGATGTGGTAATTACTAAATTGTCACACATTCCTGATATTACCCTAGCCTGATCTGGCATGGTGACATGCTATGATAGAGGAGCAAGACAGGGCCAAGAACATGTGAGCAATGCTGTATCTGTTCAGAGATCAAAGGTACAGGGTTTGAATCCTGGTCAGGCCATAGTTTGAAAGTATTTATCTCCTCCATCTCAGTAATGTATATGGACTATCATTTCACTGTATCTATTCCCATAGAGTGATTACTGATATGCACAGGGACTGTCATTTCTGTGTGTCACCTCCCATACAGTGATTGTTGATATACAGGAACTGTCATTTCCCTGTATCACCTCCCATACAGTGATTGTTGGTACACAGGAACTGTCATTACTCTGTGTCACCTCCCATACAGTGATTGTTGGTACACATGAACTGTCATTACACTGTATCACCTCCCATACAGTGATTGTTGGTACACAGGAACTGTCATTACTCTGTGTCACCTCCCATACAGTGATTGTTGGTACACATGAACTGTCATTACTCTGTGTCACCTCCCATGCAGTGATTGTTGATATACATGAACTGTCATTAGTCTGTGTCACCTCCCATACAGTGATTGTTGATATACATGAACTGTCATTATTCTGTGTCACCTCCCATACAGTGATTGTTGATATACATGAACTGTCAATACTCTGTATCACCTCCCATACAGTGATTGTTGGTACACTTGAACTGTCATGACTGTGTGTCACCTCCCATGCAGTGATTGTTGATATAGAAGGACTGTCATTACTCTGTGTCACCTCCCATACAGTGATTGTTGATATACAGGAACTGTCATTACTCTGTATCGCCTCCCATACAGTGATTGTTGATATACAAGAACTGTCATTACTCTGTGTCACCTCCCATACAGTGATTGTTGATATACAGGAACTGTCATTACTCTGTGTCACCTCCCATGCAGTGATTGTTGATATAGAGGGACAGATATTTCAATAAATAGGAGTGCATGTTGTGTACACCTCTCCAGTTCACTGTAAAGGTTTCTACAGGGAGGTTCCTGCCTAACTAATGGCATGTTTACATTTTATCTTGGACTTACACTGTGTATTATCTAATGCTATAGAAACGATTTTGTTGGGGTAGTCACCAGTGTGTACATTAGAAAACACTTGAGAAGTATATATATTGGACTGGTATAATTTCCTACAGTGGGGACAGAAGTGTGTTAGAAGACAGATTTAGAGAAATCTACAAAATTTGGACTAACATCACTCTCTACACTGGTATAATTTTATGTTCACAGTAAGTCTTTGGCACATGATGAAGAAGTGAGAAAATTGTATGAAGAGATGGAATTACAGATCAAACAGGAAAAGGACCGTGTCCTCACAGAGGTATGTAAATGTCATATATGGGTTACATTTTTTAAATATTTGGTGTCCCTATAGGGTATAAGTCTGTCCACATTACACATCAATTCAAGGCTTTAAAGAGATATTATTTTCATGTCCATTTAAATTGCATTCCCTGTAGTCAGAGTGATGTATTAAACTGCCGAAAACTAGATAATTTTAATCTGATTTTAATCTGAATCAAATTGTTTTGAATAATATTCCTGAAATCAGATCTCTTTAAATCAGATTCTTGTAATCAAATTGTTTAGATTAGATTTCTGTAATCTGACCCATTTCAATTAAATTCCTGTTTTTGAAATTGTTTGAAACAAAAATCTTGTAATGAGATCATTTTTAATTGGATTGCTCCTTTAATGAGATGCTCGGATGTCTTGTATCCTATGATCAGATTCTGTTAAATCACATTCCTAGAAATATACAGGTCTCTTGTAATCAGGTCCTCAGTAACCAGATTCTACTTAGTTAGATTCCAGATGTTATCACATTCTTTTATATCAGACCCCTTTGATGAGTTCCCCTGTAATGAAGTCTCTGTAAGGAGACCCCCTGTGATAAGATGTCTGTTTCTTTTTCTTGTCATTTGTTCACTCTCATGTTAGAATATGAAAGTAAGATAACAGTATACATCAAGATGTTAGCCATATGGTAAGAATCAAGATGTCAGCCATATGGTAAGAATCAAGATGTCAGCCATATGGTAAGAATCCAAATGTCAGCCATATGGTAAGAATCCAGATGTCAAACATATGGTAAGAATCCAGATGTCAAACATATGGTAAGAATCAAGATGTCAGCCATATGGTAAGAATCAAGATGTCTGCCATATGGTAAGAATCAAGATGTCAGCCATATGGTAAGAATCCAGATGTCTGCCATATGGTAAGAATCCTGATGTCAGCCATATGGTAAGAATCCAGATGTCTGCCATATGGTAAGAATCCTGATGTCAGCCATATGGTAAGAATCAAGATGTCAGCCATATGGTAAGAATCAAGATGTCTGCCATATGGTAAGAATCAAGATGTCAGCCATATGGTAAGAATCCAGATGTCTGCCATATGGTAAGAATCCTGAACTCAGCCATATGGTAAGAATCCAGATGTCTGCCATATGGTAAGAATCAAGATGTCAGCCATATGGTAAGAATCAAGATGTCAGCCATATGGTAAGAATCCAGATGTCTGCCATATGGTAAGAATCAAGATGTCACCCATATGGTAAGAATCCAGATGTCTGCCATATGGTAAGAATCCAGATGTCTGCCATATGGTAAGAATCAAGATGTCAGCCATATGGTAATAATCCAGATGTTAGCCATGTGGTAAGAATCAAGATGTCTGCCATATGGTAAGAATCCAGATGTCCGACATATGGTAAGAATACAGATGACAGCCATATCGTAAGAATCCAGATGTCTGCCATGTGGTAAGATATCAGATCTCAACCATATGATAAGAATCCAAATGTTAATCATATGTTAAGAATCCAGATGTCTGACATATGGTAAGATATGAAGTTGTCAGCCATATGGTAAGAATCCTGATGTCAGCCATATGGTAAGAATCCAGATGTCTGCCATATGGTAAGAATCCAGATGTTAACCATATGGTAAGATATCAGATCTCAACCATATGATAACAATCCAAATGTTAACAATATGTTAAGAATCCAGATGTCTGACATATGGTAAGATATGAAGTTGTCAGCCATATGGTAAGAATCCAGATGTCAGCCATATGGTAAGAATCCAGATGTCTGCCATATGGTAAAAATCCAGATGTCTGCCATATGGTAAAAATCAAGATGTCACCCATATGGTAAGAATCAAGATGTCAGCCATATGTTAAGAATCCAGATGTCTGCCATATGGTAAGATATCAGATCTCAACCATATGATAAGTTTCAAGATGTGTGCCATATGTTAAGAATCCAGATGTCTACCATATGGTTAAAATCAAGATGTCTGCCATATGTTAAGAATCCAGATGTCTGCCATATGGTAAAAATCCAGATGTCAGCCATATGGTAAGAATCCAGACGTCAGCCATATGGTAAGAATCCAGATGTCAGCCATATGGTAAGAATCCAGATGTCTGCCATATGGTAGTCCAGATGTTAGCCATATGGTAAAATTCAAGATGTCAGCCATATGGTAAGAATAAAGATGTCTGCCATATGGTAAAAATCCAGATGTCTGACATATCATAAAATTCAAGATGTCAGCCATATGGTAAGAATCCAGATGTCTGCCATATGGTAGTCCAGATGTTAGCCATATGGTTAGAATCCAGATGTCAGCCATATGATATAAATCAAGATGTCAGCCATATGGTAAGAATCCAGATGTCAGACATACGGTAAGAATCCAGATGTCTGCCATATGGTAAGAATCCAGATGTCTGCCATAAGGTAAAAATCCAGATGTCTGCCATATCGTAAGAATCCAGATGTCTGCCATATGATAAAAATCAATATGTCAGTCATATGGTAAGAATCCAGATGTCAGACATATGGTAAGAATCAAGATGTCAGCCATATGGTAAGAATCCAGATGTCAAACATATGGTAAGAATCTAGATGTTAGCCATATGGTAAGAATCCAGATGTTGGCCTTATGGTAAGAATCCAGATGTTAGCCATGTGGTAAGATATCAGATCTCAACCATATGATAAGAATCCAAATGTTAACCATATGTTAAGAATCCAGATGTCTGACATATGGTAAGATATGAAGTTGTCAGCCATATGGTAAGAATCCTGATGTCAGCCATATGGTAAGAATCCAGATGTCTGCCATATGGTAAGAATCCAGATGTTAACCATATGGTAAGATATCAGATCTCAACCATATGATAAGAATCCAAATGTTAACCATATGTTAAGAATCCTGATGTCAGCCATATGTTAAGAATCCAGATGTCTGCCATATGGTAAAAATCCAGATGTCTGCCATATGGTAAAAATCAAGATGTCACCCATATGGTAAGAATCAAGATGTCTGCCATATGTTAAGAATCCAGATGTCTGCCATATGGTAAGATATCAGATCTCAACCATATGATAAGTTTCAAGATGTGTGCCATATGTTAAGAATCCAGATGTCTGCCATATGGTAAAAATCCAGATGTCTGCCATATGGTAAGAATCCAGATGTCAGCCATATGGTAAGAATCCAGATGTCAGCCATATGGTAGTCCAGATGTTGGCCATATGGTAAGAATCCAGATGTCAGCCATATGGTAAAAATCCAGATGTCTGCCATATGGTAAAATTCAAGATGTCAGCCATATGGTAAGAATAAAGATGTCTGCCATATGGTAAAAATCCAGATGTCTGCCATATGGTAAGAATCCAGATGTCTGCCATATGGTAGTCCAGATGTTAGCCATATGGTTAGAATCCAGATGTCTGCCATATGATATAAATCAAGATGTCAGTCATATGGTAAGAATCCAGATGTCAGACATATGGTAAGAATCAAGATGTCAGCCATATGGTAAGAATCCAGATGTCTGCCATATGGTAAGAATCCAGATGTCAGCCATATGGTAAGAATCCAGATGTCTGCCATATGGTAAGAATCCAGATGTCAGCCATATGGTAAGAATCCAGATGTCTGCCATAAGGTAAAAATCCAGATGTCTGCCATATCGTAAGAATCCAGATGTCTGCCATATGATAAAAATCAATATGTCAGTCATATGGTAATTATCCAGATGTCAGACATATGGTAAGAATCAAGATGTCTGCCATATGGTAGTCCAGATGTTAGCCATATGGTTAGAATCCAGATGTCTGCCATATGATATAAATCAAGATGTCAGTCATATGGTAAGAATCCAGATGTCAGACATATGGTAAGAATCAAGATGTCAGCCATATGGTAAGAATCCAGATGTCTGCCATATGGTAAGAATCCAGATGTCAGCCATATGGTAAGAATCCAGATGTCTGCCATATGGTAAGAATCCAGATGTCAGCCATATGGTAAGAATCCAGATGTCTGCCATAAGGTAAAAATCCAGATGTCTGCCATATCGTAAGAATCCAGATGTCTGCCATATGATAAAAATCAATATGTCAGTCATATGGTAATTATCCAGATGTCAGACATATGGTAAGAATCAAGATGTCAGCCATATGGTAAGAATCCAGATGTCAAACATATGGTAAGAATCTAGATGTTAGCCATATGGTAAGAATCCAGATGTTAGCCATATGGTAAGATATGAAACAGTCAGCCGTTTGGTAAGATATGAAGTTGTCAGTCGTTTGGTGAGATATGAGGTTGTCAGCCGTTTGGTGAGATATGAGGTTGTCAGCCGTTTGGTAAGACATTGATATGTCAGCCATTTGGTAAGACATTGATATGTCAGCTGTATGGTAAGACATTGATATGTCAGCTGTATGGTAAGACATTGATATGTCAGCTGTATGGTAAGACATTGATATGTCAGCTGTATGGTAAGACATTGATATGTCAGCTGTATGGTAGGAATGATTATCCATTTACAGTATTAGAAAGATTTAATCTACAGTGTATTATGTACCGGCCTGAGCTTTAAACCTGTGTTTTATCAACCTGACTCTGATGTGACCAGGTCTGGTATTAAATCTGTATATAAAGCTCTCAATCCTGATTAGAATTAACATTATCACTATTGTAAATATACATTAATGGTGTGATTCCTAAGAGTGTATACAAAGTCATATTCTTTGTAAATTTAGACAGTACCTCTTACAGCTAGGTTATTGCACAGAAGTGTTCCTCTTTTTCCAGGTGCATAGCCAAGCAATTTTGGGGTGTTGGGGGCAGAATCCTCTGCTCAAGAACCAGGGGTAAAGGCCTGGTAGGGGGTTTGGGAGCAAGCTGGAAAGAAATTAGGATAATTTGGTAGATAATTTGCTTCATTTTGTAACAGTATGTATGCACATCTGTGTGTTTGTACAAAGGCAGCTATGTGCATATTTATTATCAATGTCTATTGTTAAACAAGACTGATATTTATCTCCTATTTGTTACAAATGACTAGATATAAATGAGTAATGTTGTCACTGTCCCTTTCATTCGTCTGTTGGAAAATGGGATGGGACAATAAAATGTCAATATGAATTGTGGTAGTGTTGTTACCACAATGTTTTATTACTGTTGACATTTTTATATATAAACTTGAGATAGCAATGATGGTATATTATAAAATCTCCATAGTGTTTGTTAAAATGATGTCTCAGGTCAAATCATTGGTTTATCATTGCCTTATGGGCATCCCAAGAATTTCTAAATCCTACAGACAACGAAGGGCAGCCCTTTATTTTCAAAACTGATAAATCCTGTTTATCTTCCTCAATATAAAACACACACCAGGATTACCTCTATACAGCTGTTTACCTAAATATACAGTAAATTCCCTTGGTTTTTTGTAGAATTGCATGAAATTGAAATTCCCATTTGACCAACTTTTCTATAATAAAATGCAGTCTTGTTAGGCCTTACTCCACCTCCAGGAAAGCACTCTTTACTACTCCAGCCTCCCAAAATCCAACTTTACCCAAAGGAAAGCACTCTTCACTACCCCAGCCTCCCAAAATTCAACTTTACCCAAAGGAAAGCACTCTTCACTACCCCAGCCTCCCAAAATTCCAACTTTACCCAAAGGAAAGCACTCTTCACTACCCCAGCCTCCCAAAATTCCAACTTTACCCAAAGGAAAGCACTCTTCACTACCCCAGCATCCCAAAATCCAACTTTACCCAAAGGAAAGCAGTCTTCACTACCCCAGCATCCCAAAATCCAACTTTACCCAAAGGAAAGCAGTCTTCACTACCCCAGCCTCCCAAAATCCAACTTTACCCAAAGGAAAGCACTCTTCACTAATCCAGCCTCCCAAAATTCCAACTCGAATCAATCCTTGTATCATCCAGACTAACCCTACACTAACATCTCACCTGTTTAATCTACCTTCTACCCATTACTCTAAACATTTTACCCTTTACTCTCTATTCATATCTCTATGTTTTCTATCCTTTACTCTCTTTCCTCCACTTCTGCCCTTTACCCATTACTCTTTACTCAACCTTTTACCCTTTACTCTCAACTATATACCCTCTACCCATTACTCTTTACTCAACCTTTTACCCTTTACTCTCAACTATATACCCTCTACCCATTACTCTTTACTCAACCTTTTACCCTTTACTCTCAGCTATATACCCTCTACCCAGTACTCTTTACTCAACATTTTACCCTTTACTCTCAGCTATATACCCTCTACCCAGTACTCTTTACTCAACATTTTACCCTTTACTCTCAACCATATACCCTCTACCCATTACTCTTTACTCAACCTTTTACCCTTTACTCTCAACTATATACCCTCTACCCATTACTCTTTACACAACTTTTTACTCTTTACTCTCAGCTATATACCCTCTACCCATTACTCTTTACTCAACCTTTTACACTTTACTCTCAACTATATACCCTCTACCCATTACTCTTTACTCAACCTTTTACCCTTTACTCTCAGCTATATACCCTCTACCCATTACTCTTTACTCAACCTTTTACCCTTTACTCTCAGCTATATACCCTCTACCCATTACTCTTTACTCAACTTTTTACCCTTTACTCTCAACCATATACCCTCTACCCATTACTCTTTACTCAACCTTTTACCCTTTACTCTCAACCATATACCCTCTACCCATTACTCTTTACTCAACCTTTTACCCTTTACTCTCAACCATATACCCTCTACCCATTACTCTTTACTCAACCTTTTACCCTTTACTCTCAACCATATACCCTCTACCCATTACTCTTTACACAACTTTTTACTTTTTCTCTCAACTATATACCCTCTACCCATTACTTTTTGCACTTTCCCCTCAAATGTCTTCCTTTTATCCTCTACTCATCACTCTCTACCCGTTTTCTTTTCTCTTTATGCTCTATCATCCATTCCCTACCCTCTACCTTCTCACTTTACAGTAGAAACAGCTTACTCCATCATGTGTTATTATCCTGGTTATTTGATCTGTCCTCCTACTGATCTGTCAGATATACCTGTGAACCTTGGAGGGTTGGTAAATATTAAGATTAATGGTTACTCTTATTTCAGGAACAGTTAAAAGAACAGCAGATGAAAGACAGTATGGAGGCAGAGCTTAAAGAGAAAGACAGACAACTCCAAGAATTGTTACTGAAACACCAGGAGGTAGGTTAAAGGTGGCAGTACAGATTATACTTCGGGATGGAGGATAGGGATGTTCCACTCGAGGGGTCACAAAATGTAAAACCTAAGGATTTCAGAAGGTTATACCACATTTTACGATCTTAAGAGTGAAATATCCCATCCTTCATCCAGACATATGAAATAGTATTTTTCTGTCATTCCTGTTTCTAAAATATTAAGAAAAAATATCTTCAATTTTTATGTGTTACTTAACAGATGTAACTTAGCTGAAACTTTAACACTTTTCCTGTACTCCTTATCTTGGTAATTTGGCATCACTATACAGGATTTTAGGGGATGTTACCTATAAAACCTTGTCCTTGTACAGAAACAGGAATTAGTATGTTGATCTAAATTATATTGTTTTTGATGAAATGTTTTCCTATTTTGTGTGATACTTAACTAGACAACTGTATTTTCAGATGGAAAATAGGTTATCACAGTTGAATGTGGCTGAAAGTGAGACAAAACAAGAGAATGAGAAACTACAGAGGGTAAGGCCAACATCTAGTAGTGTCCAATATGGTCCTTATGTTGATGTCCTTTGTAAGACAGACACATTACAGCTCCTTTGTGGAAAGTTTTCAAAATAGAGATAAATTCTTCACAGTCAGATGACATGTGCTGTAATTCTGTGCCTTGTACACTTTACTTAGAGAGTATAACAACATAGCTTTATAGCGTTTGGTTTAGGTTAACACTGGGAAAGTTTAGTTTGTAACTTGTTCTGTCCGTTTTAGGCAAATTACAAGTAATGACTGCAGGACATCAGTATTTATCATATATTACCACTCTAAGGATTAACTACAGGCCCTCAATACCTCTTACTGTTATACTGATCTTATGTCTTATAGGAAAAAGAGGACCTGCAAATTCAGCTGAGGAAGTCTGAGGATGGACTAGAGGAATCCAAGTCCTACATAGACCAGCTACGCATCCAGTCCAAGGATGAGAAACGTGAAAGGGCACGGTAGGTCATATGTCAATAGGTGAAAGTTCAACTTATTTTCATACTGAAAACCTGTCCAACATATTCCATAACTCTACCTGCTCCTTGTTATGTCGTATCTTAGTGATCAACACTCACAGTTTTCTTGTTTCAGGTCCTTTTGCAAAAATACTTAATATATTGTTTTATCTTGATATCAACCTAGAATTTTTAAATTAGAACATAATAAATACCAATTGTTTGTCACAGATGTAAGTAGATTACATTCTGATCTGTCATGGTTTGCAAATACAGATCCTAATTCTGTTACAGGGCAGCGCTGAAGGTGACAGAGGGTATTGCCTTGGAGAGAGAGAGTCTTGTCAAACAATTGGATTCCCTTAGGTAATCCTTGTGAAGTATTTTGTCCTGATAGTACAACAAATCTGCTGCATTAGTTGTGTAGCACAACTGGTTCAGAAACCTAACTTTAACATTATGCTAATTATCATATTATCTAATGCAATGTTTTTGGCCCAAAGATAGATCAAGATGATAAAGATCTAACAAAGATCATACAGTGATGAAATATCTTGTTATATTTTCTCTCATAAAATGTAGAATAGAAATTATTGTACTGTGATACTTTTGGTTTCTTTCCTCAGAGACATCAACCAACAGCTCCGAGACGACAAGGATGAAGCGGAGACAAGGCGGGTACAGACCACTTTGTCACCTTCAGACAGGAGAGCTCATAAACCCCAATTATAGAGCACCAAACAGGCCCTTATCTATTCATCACACCCGTCATTCTGTTGTTTGTGTCAAAATTATTAACTGCAACAAAATTGATCCAGTAACAAATGGAAGATCAAAACTTCAGTCAGAAAAAATTTAATATCCAATTTTTTTATTATATAATCTCTAAATGGGAGCTTTATAGAAAATAACACTTCATATGATAATAGCCAAGCTTTCTGTATAATTGGCACTAGTGTGGGCAGAATCCAAATAAGAGCACACTTTAGCAATTTGTAAACTTCATGTTCAGAATCATTTAATTTCAGTGGCTTTTTTTGTAACAATCTCATAGGGATTCTTGTCTTCAGAAAATGCTATTTTTAATCCACGAACTTGATTTGTATCTTTAGTTACGATTTCAGTATTTACATCAAATAGAATTTGATTTTTCTTCTCTTTAAACATACTAAACCATATACTGGTGCCCAATACATCTTTATCAAAGATAATAAATGTATTGTAATTATATGTGTGGATACATTGTTCTGTAATTTCAATGTAGAATACTTCATAACCATGTATGATATACGAGAGAAAAATATTTTGAAATCCACTGATGAATGATCTGAAGACAAGAAACAAATCTATTACACAAATCATGATAAGATAATTATAAAACAAATTGAACATTGTGTTCACGCCTTTAAAAGCTTAGAGACTGACTACCTGTGTACCACATGTACTAATATTGTCAGTAAGGCAGTATATATATCGGCTCATTTCTAACCATCATATATGATGCTCACATTGTACTCCTATCAATGCCAGCAGCACCTTAATTATAACTGCTGAAGGAAAATCTGTTCAAAAGAATTTATTTCTGGGAAAAATTTTATTCTTATTTTGGTTGCACAATATGATTGTCTACCAATGTACATTTCTTTTTAAGCACATTTTCTGATCTTTCTAAGATTCATCTTCCACCATACTTCGTCTTGATAACATTTCTTTGGTATTTCCTCTGTACCAATGTAATAACAATGACCATTAGATTCTCTCCTTCACTAACACTAAATGGAGTGTTTCCATAGCAACGTGTAAACAGCATTTCCTCGAGGACATCATGGCTTCCCTGTCAATTAAATAAACCATTCAGTCTAGTTTTGAGGTTCTTTTAAAAGTCTGGTCTCCTATGAGAACTTTTACATGAAAATTCCTTGTTAACTTTGTTTGAACTGAGGAAATGTTGGTAATAAATCTCTATATTAAATGTGTTACTTGACTGACCTCTACATACTGTGTGTTTGTTGTTTTGAACAATCCTACACCAGGAGGATCTAAGTGTCTCTTCTTTGAGTGACGATCTCCACCAGGTATATTCATGCCCGACCCCTCTCAGAACCTTACCCACTTATCTCCTGTCTGAACTGACTTAGTTGGGATACTTACGGTTCTTGTTTAAAGTTTTTGCATGCTTGTGTTATTTCTTTATCTACCAGTATTTACAGCCAAGCTTACTGCACTTGCTGAAATTGTACACCAAATAAGACTGCTTTTGAGAAAAAAAAAAAAAACAACTTGCTTGTGCTCCAACTTTATGTCATTTAATTGTGCATTCTTTTCATTTTAACATGCAGCTGTTTTTGGTGGAGCTTTCCTCAGACTTGTGATATAGGCTTGGCTGTTTTATAATTTGTATAATTTGTTACTATATTTCACTATTTTATTGATTTAAATATTGTCATTGAGGTAAAAGTGGTTAGTGGATAAGTAGTAGGTTTTTACATGTTATAGATATTTATAGATAGTTTTTAACGCTTCCCAAAAAGAAGGCATATAGTCGCAGCTTTGTCCCTCCATCCGTCTGTCCATTCATCCATTTGTCTGTCAGTTATAATTTTGTCTGCAGCATAACACAAAAATAATGAGAGGTATCAACATAAAACTCCATAGGTAGATAGATCTCAACAAGGTGAATAATTTAGGAGTTAATGCCCTTTGTTATTTTTGATACTTAAAATTTTGTCAGGAGCATTACACTAAAACTATTAGAGGTATCATCATGAAACTTCATAGGTAGATAGATTTCAACAAGGTGAATAATTTAGGAGTTAATGCCCTTTGTTATTTTTGATACTTAAAATTTTGTCAGGAGCATTACACTAAAACTATTAGAGGTATCGTTATTTTTGATACTTAATATTTTGTCAGGAGCATTACACTAAAACTATTAGAGGTATCATCATGAAACTTCATAGGTAGATAAATCCCAACAAGGAGAAATGTAATGAACTAGAACCGTCACTCTTTTATACCCTTCGTTATTTTTCATACTTCAATTTTGTTCCATTTGGGAAGCATAACCTGTCTCTGATGGCCGTTGTCTTATTCAGGTGTGCAGTTAAAATATACAGAACAATAGAGGTTGCTTAATAGTTTGAAATTGGTTTGTATAATAGAAAAAATATCAGGAAAAAGAATTAGACAATATTAGATTAGAGATACTATCTAATTCAGTGAATGTTGGATTTAAAACATTATATTTGTAATATATCAATGATTGCACAGCAATGTCACAACATGAACTAACCAGATAGAAGTGTTAATTTTCTGATGCTATACAAGGCCAAGCGCTCTTAACATTTAGCTTTAGGTCAGAATTGCATGTTCAAAGCTATTCCCAGTTGTTTTGCAGTCTGAATTAAAATTGAACCATATATTTTACTATCAGAAGACTCTTTCATCCTTCAGTTGACATTGTTTGACCTCAAAACACAGAATTATGAGTCCACAAATTTGCGATAATAGACATATAAGTGTATATTTTTGATTGGCTAAAAGTATGGCTGCATAAACCTTGTTTGGTAGTATGTCGCGTCTGAGCAAGATAATTTCCTCTCATGTAATAAGATACATGGTTCATTTTTCAATTAAGTTTGGATGTTCACCTTGTTTATGTTTAATTTTTCAGTTCCATGTTCCAGGTTTAAACTTTTAGTTTATATCTTATTCTTCTTCCAATATAAATAATTTGCTAATTCAATACTAAACAAATTGTTTATGAATAGGTGATAAATTTGTGAATAACCAGAATAGAAGTTGTTTTGTTTATTGATGACAATCTATATTTAGACTACAAAGAAAAATTAGTTGGAATTTTTTATCATAATATTTTAGTTAGAATAAAGGATAAACTTGTACAATTGTTTACTAATTCCTGTAAATTATAATGTTTTAATTTGGTGATAAGCCTATGGACTTTTTACAGGACTTTTCTACTGAACTTAAGTAGACTGGTATTGTACCAGACATGGATAGATTGTGTAATAAATACAGACCATGTTGTTATTTGTTGACGTTGTAATTCAATTATATTGTGATTCAGTGACATTGAAATTTTAAATTAGACACTCAGAATCCACTTTAATGTAATTCATTTGTATTGTAATTCAGTGATAATATAATTTTAAATTAGACACTCAGAATCTACTCCAACATTTCTATAGGTAATCTGGATTACATCAGAGGATATAGGTAAAACTTGTAAATTCTTATCATTTGTTAGACTAATGGAATTTGTTCAAAAGAGCATAATTTTTCATATTTTAGGTTTTAAATGGGACATGTGTTAGATTTAAGAACTCACTTATTGAGGCTGATAACAATTGATAAATTCATTATATGACTCCATGCTTACACCAGATGTGTTGTTTTTCTTAAAGGTTCTTGAAACAGAAGCAAGAACAAAGCCGACAGTGTCCAGTCGTCGTGACCAGCTATCCAAACAGGGCTCAGTCCTTGGCGACTACTTCCCAAGTAACAGGTAAGGTTTATGTCACCAGCAAATTTGATTTTATTCTTTATGGCTGTAGGAGACGAGAAATGAAATAAAAAGTTAAATGTTGTTACCAGCAGGAATAGAAGTTAACTTTGGAGGTAATCTTATCATAGATCCGGTCAGTATTTTAATACATCTCATTTTGTTTTAGGGGGCAGCCACCATTTGGGGAATCGGTATCCGAGGACACACCAGATGTAGAGGAGGATGACATAGAAGTAGATTATGACGATGACCATGACGGTCAGATTAGTTATAGTACTCATAGTGACTTAGTAGAATCTAGAAATTTGTCTTTTCATCAAAACGGTCATTACAGTGAATCACAGAAAGTCAGTGGTAATCAAGGCAATACAAGTGAAGGTGACTCAGAGGAGAAAACTGGGAATGATGAATCAACGGGCAGGAGTCGCAAAGTGCGCAAAACCAAAAGGAGGCTACTCCCTGATACAGCAGCCAGCCAGCCGCGAGCAGACAGGTAAGCAATTTTTTATAGTAGGTGATGGGGTATTTTCATGAGGTAGAGAATAGTTGTGGTGGGGGGAAAGCTTCTTTGATCTGACATTTTAACTCACATTAATGGATATTGTAAATTCAGTTTAGGTGTAATAATTTCACCTGCCTGTGACAAAATGAGGGGAAATACACTATTTGACTCTGTGTATATTGTTTTCCCTGTTTGACTCTCTGTACATTGTTTTCACTTTTGACTCTCTGTATATTTTTTTCATCCCATGAATAGCTGTTTGGATCAACATATGACCTTTCAATCAAAGGTAACAGAGAATAAACAGGATTATTACCAGACATATGTAAATAGAAACTTTATCTATTTTACAGCAATTGCAAAACAAGCTATCAGCTTATATGAATCACTCTAATTGGCCTAAATGGAAGTGTGCATTTGAGGGAGGGGGTCTTACTGTGGGAGGAAACTGGAGTAGCTGGGGAAAACCCTAAGGGTTGGGCAGATGAACCCATACCTTTTCATGTCCATTCTGGAAACTGAACCCAAGTTGACTAGGTGAAAAGCGAGTAGATTAGCACTACACTACCTGACAACCCATTACCACATAAGTGCTGATAGAAGTGATAGCTAAATCAGATCAAGGCAGCTTAGGAATGGGAATTAGTCTAACAGAATCTGTTGCATGAGTGTTGAAATAACAGTAGTTTTGTAATCATTAACACTTTTAAAGTTTCTTTTGTTTATATGTGTAACATGTTTCTTACTCAAAACAGCTGTAGAACCAGCTAGATATCTCACAAACTCCAGTGTGAATAATAGTGCAAGATCACACAAAACATACACAAGCAAATACTAATCTATAGTACAAATTTGCACATTAAGACAAATCTTGGGTACTGAAAGTCAACCAGCAACCACCTGCAATATCAAAGATAACGTAATAAAGTTGATAATAATTAAGATAATTGATACCAGTTAACATGTATTACTTTAATATCAAGGAAACCTTGACCTAAATATATCATCAACTTTGATCAGAAACCTGTATATCTTGATATCGGGTGAAGAGCTTTATTTCAGCATCATTGAAACGAAAATGATTGTACAGTAAATATTAGGATTATTTTCAGGTTTTTGGGGATGGTCGAGAATTTCTAAACAAAAGAAGAAACAAGAAAAGAAAAGTTACTTTATAGTATTTGAAATATTTCCCTGCTGGCATTTTATTAGTTATGGTCAATAAAATTAACATTGGGAAAATGAGGAGCAGCCATATATCAGTAATGAATGAGAGTATTGATAGCCCATTCTGTGAAGCACTATAAACAAATTACAGGATATTTATACACTTAGTTCAATGATTATTCCCTCTGTAAGAAACTTTGATAATATCTGTCTGTTTGTAATCAATTTTTTAAAGGAAGTGACTCTGTTAGTCTAATGTTTGATAAAAAAAAAAACCGACATGTTAAAGAAATGAGAAACACAAACTACATCATATTACTAACACATTTAACAATGGTTTCTCTTCTGACAATGACCTGTTTCTCTCCCAGATCTAGCATAGATAGCAATTCTGATGGAGATACAGACAAGAGTGCAGGAGATCCTGATGATGTAAAGCAGGGTGCGGAACCTGAGAAGCAGGAAGAAATTGTTGATGTCCACGGAACTTCGGAAAATATTCCTAAATCAGAAGAGAACTTAGAAAAGATAAGCTTGGAAGGATCCAACCAATCAGCTGGAACATTGCAGGGGAAACCAGAGCAAACAATGAAGGTGGCATCACACGCACTGTTTGTTGAAAAGTCAGAGATAATTTTAGAAATGAAGCCAAAAGAGACATTGGTGAGAAAAGTTAAGGATAAAACTGAAAATGAATTAGCGAAGAAGGCAAAGGCTGTATTGGACTTCAGTACGGAGAAATCACAGGATACTGTTGAGGCTGTGTCTGACCTCAGTACTGAGAAATCAGAGGGTACTGTTGAGGTTGTATCTGTTCACAGTACAGAAAAATCAGAGAGTACTGTTGAGGTTGTATCTGTTCACAGGACTGTGAAATCAGAGGGTACCGTTGAGGTTGTGTCTGACCTTAGGACTGAGCAATCAGAGGGTACTGTTGAGGCTGTGTCTGACCTCAGTACTGAGAAATCAGAGGATTCTGTTGAGGTTGTATCTGTTCACAGGACTGAGAAATCAGAGGGTACTGTTGAGGCTGTGTCTGACCTCAGTACTGAGAAATCAGAGGTTACTGTTGAGGCTGTGTCTGACCTTAGGACTGAGAAATCAGAGGGTACTCTTGAGGCTGTGTCTGACCTTAGGACTGAGAAATCGGAGGATTCTGTTGAGGCTGTATCTGTTCACAAGACTGTGAAATCAGAGGGTACTGTTGAGGCTGTGTCTGACCTAAGGACTGAGAAATCAGAGGGTACTGTTGAGGCTGTATCTGTTCACAAGACTGTGAAATCAGAGGGTACTGTTGAGGCTGTATCTGTTCACAAGACTGAGAAATCAGAGGGAACTGTTGAGGTTGTGTCTGACCTCAGAACTGAGAAATCAGAGGGAACTGTTGAGGTTGTGTCTGACCTCAGTACTGAGAAATCAGAGGTTACTGTTGAGGCTGTGTCTGACCTCAGTACTGTGAAATCAGAGGGTACTGTTGAGGCTGTATCTGACCTCAGTACTGTGAAATCAGAGGTTACTGTTGAGGTTGTGTCTGACCTCAGTACTGAGAAATCAGAGGTTACTGTCGAGGCTGTGTCTGACCTCAGTACTGTGAAATCAGAGGGTACTGTTGAGGCTGTGTCTGACCTCAGTACTGTGAAATCAGAGGTTACTGTTGAGGCTGTATCTGACATCAGTACCAAGAAATCAGAGGTTACTGTTGAGGCTGTGTCTGACCTCAGTGCTGTGAAATCAGAGGGTACTGTTGAGGCTGTATCTGACCTCAGTGCTGAGAAATCAGAGGGAACTGTTGAGGCTGTATCTGACCTCAGTACTGAGAAGTCAGAGGGTACTGTTGAGGCTGTGTCTGACCTCAGTGCTGTGAAATCAGAGGTTACTGTTGAGGCTGTGTCTGACCTCAGTGCTGTGAAATCAGAAGGTACTGTTGAGGCTGTATCTGACCTCAGTGCTGAGAAATCAGAGGGAACTGTTGAGGCTGTATCTGACCTCAGTACTGAGAAGTCAGAGGGTACTGTTGAGGCTGTGTCTGACCTCAGTAGTGAGAAATCAGAGGTTACTGTTGAGGTTGTGTCTGACCTCAGTGCTGTGAAATCAGAGGGTACTGTTGAGGCTGTGTCTGACCTCAGTACTGAGAAATCAGAGGGTACTGTTGAGGCTGTGTCTGACCTCAGTGCTGAGAAATCAGAGGGTACTGTTGAGGCTGTGTCTGACCTCAGTACTGAGAAATCAGAGGTTACTGTTGAGGCTGTGTCTGACCTCAGAACTGAGAAATCAGAGGATACTGTTGAGGCTGTGTCTGACCTCAGTACTGAGACATCAGAGGGTACTGTTGATGCTGTGTCTGACCTCAGTACTGAGAAATCAGAGGTTACTGTCGAGGCTGTGTCTGACCTCAGTACTGTGAAATCAGAGGGTACTGTTGAGGCTGTGTCTGACCTCAGTACTGAGAAATCAGAGGTTACTGTTGAGGCTGTGTCTGACCTTAGTACTGAGACATCAGAGGTTACTGTTGAGGCTGTGTCTGACCTCAGTACTGAGAAATCAGAGGTTACTGTTGAGGCTGTGTCTGACCTCAGTACTGAGAAATCAGAGGTTACTGTTGAGGCTGTGTCTGACCTCAGTACTGAGAAATCAGAGGTTACTGTTGAGGCTGTGTCTGACCTCAGTACTGAGAAATCAGAGGTTACTGTTGAGGCTGTATCAACAACTAAGGTCAGTGTGAAGACAACAGAGATTATCAATGTTGATCAAGAAAAGGGATTAGATATACATGCCAGAGGGAAGGCAGATACTGGAGAAGATACAGGAGCTAGAACAGACACATATGAGAAAACTTCAGCTAATCAAATATTTGTCAAAGATTCTGAAGAAGATGTGGAGATTGATACAACTGTGGAGCTGAACTACAGTAACAAAGTTATTGAGGAACAGGTGGATATCAATGAACTGGTCAAACAAAACTTTGACAAAGTAGAAGAAATAACAGATATTGCAAAGGGAGAAACAGCAAAAGAGATACATTCAGGAAGCAGTACAGTGATAGGTAAGGTGGAAAATGAGGATGTTGTAGATGTAGGGAAGAATAACTCTTATCAGGATCAAGAGTTAAATGTTGCAGTTCAGAAAGAAGGCGGCCAAGTGATGGAAAAATCCCTAACTACTAATGATCAGGTTGTTAAAGCGGAATCTGCTCTTATTTCAGTTAATCAGCTGGCAGGGCTAACAGCAAATCAACAAACAGTAGAAACAACGGATACAGCCATTCAGCTCACTGGGAAAGTGACAGATACAACCAATCAGATGTCAGAGAAAGCAACAGATACAACCAATCAGCTCACTGGGAAAGTGACAGATACAACCAATCAGATGTCAGAGAAAGCAACAGATACAACCAATCAGCTCACTGGGAAAGTGACAGATACAACCAATCAGATGCCAGAGAAAGCAACAGATACAACCAATCAGCTCACTGGGAAAGTGACAGATACAACCAATCAGATGTCAGAGAAAGCAACAGATACAACCAATCAGATGTCAGAGAAAGCAACAGATACAACCAATCAGATGTCAGAGAAAGCAACAGATACAACCAATCAGATGTCAGAGAAAGCAACAGATACAACCAGTCAGATGCCAGAGAAAGCAACAGATACATTGAATCAATTTTTGGAGAAAGCAACAAGTTCCTCAAATCAGCCTTCAGAGGAAAATGCAAAACAAGAACTCTCTGTTTTGGACTCTCAGAATAAAATGGATGTGCTTTCAGACCTCCACTCTACTGAAGCTCTCCAGTCATCTAGTAAAGAAGATATCAAGCAATCTACAATAGTCATACAGGAAATTACAACACCTGTAACTATAGACATTGGAGCATTAAAAATAGCCCCAAAGGATGTTGTGGAGAATGTGCAAATATTTACTGGGCCCGCTAATGATTTTCAGGTATCTGCACCTGTCTCCAATGACCAGCAGAAAGCAACCACTGTTTTAGAGGATCCAACAACATCAGTTCCTGGACCTAAGGATCTGCAAACATTAGATGCTGTTGCAGAAGAACAACAGACAGCATTTGTTTCTGAAGTTCTTCCAACATCAGCTGCTGTTGTTAAAGACTTAAAGACTGCTGGAATTGCTAAAGATCAACGGATATCTGTCGCTGTAGCTAAGGACCTGCAGACATCAGATGCAATTGTTGAGGACCTGCAGACTTCTGCTGCTGTTGCAGATGATCAACAGACAGCTACAGGTACCGCTGCTTTTGGTGAAGAGGATGTGCAGACAGTTGCTGATGGGAATGTTCTACAGACATCACTTGCTGTTGGTAAGAACCTGCAGACAACAGATGATGTTGGTAAGGATAAACACAAATCAACTGCTGTTGTTGAAAATCTTGAGAAAACTGCAGTTGCTAAGGACCTACAGACATCGCATGCTGTCGCTAAGGACCTTCAAACATCAACTACTACTGCAGAAGATAAACAAGCAGCTTTTGTTATAGTAAATAAAGATCTGCAGACAACTGTCGTACCTACAGATTCACAAACATCTACTGCTGTTGCAGAGGATCAAGAGACAACTGTTGATACTGAAGGTCTGAAAACATCAACTTCTGTTGTTGAAGATTTGCAGACAGTTGCTGTTAATACAGATCTACAGACATCGGGCGTTGATGTTGAGGACCAGAAAATATCAGCAGTTGTTGCTGAGTATCAACAAAAAACTATTGTTACAAAAGACCTGCAAAATTCAGATGTTGTTGCTGAAGAACTACAGACATCAGTTATTGTAGATGAAGATCTGCAGACAGCTGTCGTAGCTACAGATTTGCAAACATCAGTTGCTCTTGTTGAGGAGCATAAAACAGTTATTGTTACTGGAAATCGACAAAATTCAGCAGCTGTGGTTGAAATTCTGCAGACTCCAGATGCTGTTGTTGAGGAACAACAGACAGCTGTTGCTGAAGAACAACAAACAATTATTGTTACAAAAGACCTGCAAAATTCAGATGTTGCTGAAGAACTACAGACAACAGTTATTGTAGATGAAGATCTGCAGACAGCTGTCATAGCTACAGATTTGCAGACATCAGTTGTTGTTGAGAATCATAAAACAATTATTGTTACAAAAGACAAAATTCAGCTGAAGAACTGTGGTTGAGATCTGCAGACAGCTGTCGTAGCTACAGATTTGCAAACATCAGTTGCTCTTGTTGAGGAGCATAAAACAGTTATTGTTGCTGGAAATCAACAAAATTCAGCAGCTGTGGTTGAAATTCTGCAAACTCCAGATGCTGTTGTTGAGGAACAACAGACAGCTGTTGCTGAAGAACAACAGACATCAGTGACGGTAGATGAAGATCTGCAGACAACTGCCGTAGCTACAGATTTGCAAACATCAGTTGCTCTTGTTGAGGAGCATAAAACAGTTATTGTTACTGGAAATCAACAAAATTCAGCTGCTGTGGTTGAAATTCTGCAGACACCAGATGCTGTTGTTGCTGAAGAACTACAGACATCAGTTATTGTAGATGAAGATCTGCAGACAGCTGTCATAGCTACAGATTCGCAGACATCTACTGCTGTTGCTGAGAATCAACAAACAATTATTGTTACAAAAGACCTGCAAAATTCAGATGCTGTTGTTGAGGAACTAAAGACATCAGTTATTGTAGATGGAGATCTGCAGACAGCTGTCATAGCTACAGATTCGCAGACATCTACTGCTGTTGCTGAGAATCAACAAACAATTATTGTTACAAAAGACCTGCAAAATTCAGATGTTGTTGCTGAAGAACTACAGACATCAGTTATTGTAGATGAAGATCTGCAGACAACTGTCGTAGCTACAGATTTGCAAACATCAATTGCTCGTGAGGAGCAAAAGACAGTTATTGTTGCTGGAAATCAGGAACAACAGACAGCTGTTGTTGCTGCTGGAAATCAGGAACAACAGACAGCTGTTGTTGCTGAAGAACTACCGATATCAGTGACGGTAGATGAAGATCTGCAGACAGCTGTCATAGCTACAGATTCGCAGATATCTACTGCTATTGCTGAGAGTCAACAAACAATTATTGTTACAAAAGACCTGCAAAATTCAGATGTTGTTGCTGAAGAACTACAGACATCAGTTATTGTAGATGAAGATCTGCAGACAACTGTCGTAGCTACAGATTTGCAAACATCAGTTGCTCGTGAGGAGCAAAAGACAGTTATTGTTGCTGAAAATCAAAATTCAGCTGCTGAGGTTGCTGCTGGAAATCAGGAACAACAGACAGCTGTTGTTGCTGAAGAACTACCGATATCAGTGACGGTAGATGAAGATCTGCAGACAGCTGTCATAGCTACAGATTCGCAGATATCTACTGCTATTGCTGAGAGTCAACAAACAATTATTGTTACAAAAGACCTGCAAAATTCAGATGTTGCTGCTGAAGAACTACAGACATCAGTTATTGTAGATGACGATCTGCAGACAACTGTCGTAGCTACAGATTTGCAAACATCAGTTGCTCGTGAGGAGCAAAAGACAGTTATTGTTGCTGAAAATCAACAAAATTCAGCTGCTGAGGTTGAAATTCTGCAGACACCAGATGTTGTTGTTGAGGAACAACAGACAGCTGTTGTTGCTGAAGAACTACAGACATCAGTGACGGTAGATGAAGATCTGCAGACAACTGTCGTAGCTACAGATTTGCAAACATCAGTTGCTCGTGAGGAGCAAAAGACAGTTATTGTTGCTGAAAATCAACAAAATTCAGCTGCTGAGGTTGAAATTCTGCAGACACCAGATGCTGTTGTTGAGGAACAACAGACAGCTGTTGTTGCTGAAGAACTACAGACATCAGTGACGGTAGATGAAGATCTGCAGACAGCTGTCATAGCTACAGATTCGCAGACATCTACTGCTATTGCTGAGAATCAACAAACAATTATTGTTACAAAAGACCTGCAAAATTCAGATGTTGCTGAAGAACTACAGACAACAGTTATTGTAGATGAAGATCTGCAGACAGCTGTCATAGCTACAGATTCGCAGACATCTACTGCTGTTGCTGAGAATCAACAAACAATTATTGTTACAAAAGACCTGCAAAATTCAGATGTTGTTGCTGAAGAACTACACACATCAGTTATTGTAGATGAAGATCTGCAGACAACTGTCATAGCTACAGATTTGCAAACATCAATTGCTCGTGAGGAGCAAAAGACAGTTATTGTTGCTGGAAATCAGGAACAACAGATAGCTGTTGTTGCTGAAGAACTACCGACATCAGTGACGGTAGATGAAGATCTGCAGACAGCTGTCATAGCTACAGATTCGCAGATATCTACTGCTATTGCTGAGAGTCAACAAACAATTATTGTTACAAAAGACCTGCAAAATTCAGATGTTGTTGCTGAAGAACTACAGACATCAGTTATTGTAGATGACGATCTGCAGACAACTGTCGTAGCTACAGATTTGCAAACATCAGTTGCTCGTGAGGAGCAAAAGACAGATACTGTTGCTGAAAATCAACAAAATTCAGCTGCTGAGGTTGAAATTCTGCAGACACCAGATGCTGTTGTTGAGGAACAACAGACAGCTGTTGTTGCTGAAGAACTACAGACATCAGTGACGGTAGATGATGATCTGCAGACAGCTGTCATAGCTACAGATTCGCAGACATCAACTGCTATTGCTGAGAATCAACAAACAATTATTGTTACAAAAGACCTGCAAAATTCAGATGTTGCTGAAGAACTACAGACAACAGTTATTGTAGATGAAGATCTGCAGACAGCTGTCATAGCTACAGATTCGCAGACATCTACTGCTGTTGCTGAGAATCAACAAACAATTATTGTTACAAAAGACCTGCAAAATTCAGATGTTGTTGCTGAAGAACTACACACATCAGTTATTGTAGATGAAGATCTGCAGACAACTGTCATAGCTACAGATTCGCAAACATCTACTGCTGTTGCAGAGGATCAAGAGACAACTATTGATACTGAAGGTCTGAAAACATCAACTTCTGTTGTTGAAGGTCTGCAGACAGTTGCTGTTAATACAGATCTACAGACATCAGGCGTTGATGTTGAGGACCAGAAAATATCAGCTGCTATTGCGGAGTATCAACAAAAAACTATTGTTACAAAAGACCTGCAAAATTCAGATGTTGTTGTTGAAGGTCTGCACACAACTGCTGTCACTAAGGATCTAAAGACATTGGATATTGTTGTTGAGGACCTGAAAACATCAGCTGCTGTGGAGGAGGAACAACAAACATCTATTGTTGCTGAAGAACTACAGACATCAGTTGTTGTTGCTAAGGATCTGCAGACAACAGCTGCTTTTGCTGAGGATGAACAAACAACTATTGTCAAAAAAGACCTGCAAAATTCAGATGTTGTTGCTGAAGAACAGCAGACATCAGTGATGGTAGATGAAGATCTGCAGACAGCTGTTGTAGCTACAGATTCGCAGACATCTACTGCTGTTGCAGAGGATCAAGAGACAACTATTGATACTGAAGGTCTGAAAACATCAATTTCTGTTGTTGATGGTCTGCAGACAACTGCTGTGGCTAAGGATATAAAGACATTGGATATTGTTGTTGAGGACCAGAAAACATCAGCTGCTGTGGAGGAGGAACAACAAACATCTATTGTTGCTGAAAACCAACAGATATCAGTTGTAGCTAATGAACTGCAGACATCACTTGTTGTTGCTAAGGATCTTCAGTCATCAGATGCTGTTTCTAAGGATCTGCAGACATCAGCTGCTTTTGCTGAGGATAGACAGACAGTTATTGTTGCTAAGGAACTACAGACATCAGTTGCTGTTGTTGAGGACTTACAGATATCAGATTTTTCTAAACAGGTTGAGACCTCAACAACTAGTAAAACGGAGGTTGAGATTTCTGTAACTCCAGGAGATGATCATTCCATTAAAGAAGTGAATGAGGAACTCCAATTAGCTTTAGATTCAAGTGTAGTTGAAACAATATATTATCCTAGCACATCCACAGATGAACCAGGCTCCATTATACTAGATACTGGTACAGACACCACAGCTGAAATTGTTGATCAGCAACCTGTTCCAGAATCAGAACAATTGTCTGAAAGTATTATACCACATGACACTGCTGTTTATATGGATTTAAAGGCTGCTTTAGACACTGTTCCAGAAAGTCTTGAAAGGGCAGCAGATTTGAAGTTTGCAGATAGTAAAACATTAGCTGATCTTGCTCTCAGGTCTGAGGTGAACACTAAAGACATGGAACAAACACTCCAAGGTGATAGTTTGTCAGGTGAAGCAAGCAAGATGACAGGTGAAACAATTATCAATAGAAACTTTAATGAAGAAAATATATCGGAGGTTGCTGAGAGTAAGATTTTGTCCTATCCAGAGGGCACACATACAGAGGGTAGAGCTGAAACAGGAAAAACTGAGGAACAAACGAAAGCAACAGTATCTACAGGGGACAATCTATCTATTGATATAACTATCAAAGACCAGAAAGGAAATACAGATGTAGATTCATCGAAAATGAAACCAGACAAGGTATCTGGTGTTGCAGGTGCTGATGATGAAGATGATACATTTTCTACAACCATGATCATTTACACCAACAAATTTGAGGGTTGTGATGAGCAGACAAGAATGGAGGAGACACGAGAAGCCCTAGAAAGCACAGTTTTATCTTATCCGGAACCGAAATACTACAGCTTCATGCCTCACAACAAATCTAAACATCTGTACAGTACACTGACAACATCTGGACTACAGGGCCACACACCAGAAGGCCAGGACTTGTCATCAGAGACCATGTTCCGATCTCCTCGGCTAACATCTCCAACAGGCATGTTTGATGGAAGTCTGTCCTCTCGCGTTGACTCCATACCAGATCAGTGTCATGGTAAGATTGTGGACAGAAAGGGAAATAAATCTGTCCATTTCCAGGATAGTGATGGCACTATCTTCACACCAGCACACACTTTATCATCTCAACAAAAAACAGACACAGAGGTTGTAATTGGAGAGTCGGGTGCTGAAGAAGAAGGTCGGAAACTCCATGTTATAAAACAAAGTCAGGAAGAACAAAAGGAAACAACAGACGATACGACACAATCTGAAACTGAAAGTACAAGTAAAGAAAAACAAAAGGTTTCTTCAGAAAAAAAGAAAAAGAAATCTATCCTTTCAAGTCTCTCTTATATCTTGCCTAGTGTTCCCTTTACTCGTGGAGTTGTCGTGGATCCTTGGGAGGGAGAAGAGGTCACTTTTCGCGGTGAATTTGGAGATGTTATTGATGAGGAGGAGGCACTTTCAGGAGAGCAAGTAGTCTTTTGCTCATTGACAAGTGTATGCATGTCACTGCTTTGTAACTGGCTGTGTATCATGCCAGGTGCAGCCTGTATAATATTATACTATATATGCAGTACAAAACACGCAACGGACTTGTATTCCCAGCCAGTATACTTTATATTTGTTGTCTATATGCCATTGTTCCTGTTATATATGATAATACTGGTTTTTTACTCTGGAAAGCCACATTCTATTTGCATGAAATCAGCACAAGGATTGGACGGATGTGCACTATAATTAACATTGTGTATCTCTGTTCTCTGTGCTGATCCTAACAAAACAGGAACCACATCTTAGTGTAATACTGATACTTTTAAGTGGACTTGTTGCTATGGTGATGGTTGTGGTGGTATGGTTTTGTAAGAGCATATTGTCACTATATTTGAGGTGACTGTGAAGCTTGGAATGGCAGTTGGTTGAGAAGCATGGCTTGTCTTTAGCCTAAGGTGAGAGCTGCTGACTATTTTATCCATCTTAACTTAAATTTTCTTCTGTCTTTTTTAATACACTAATAATACTATTAATTAATTACCTATTAATCAACATATATATATATTATATACCAACTACTAATACTAAACCTGTCGTACTTAAGGTTAATTACAAGATAATTCTACAAAACATTAAAAACAAGGTATAAAATTATCAGTCTTTGAAAGGCATATTTATCTGTCAAAATCTTAAAACTGAAAATTTTGACATATTGAATAGTGTTTCTATTTGTTTTTGAACACCTGCTGGAAATCAAGGAAAGATATCAACAAAATCCGTAAATATGAACTTATCTGATCTTGACTCAAGAAGTTTTTGTGACCTTGACATTGCAATATGTTTTTGTAGGAGTCCAGACCAAGATATGACCAATGTTCCTCGAGGACAACCTGTCGGGGCTGGAGATTCTGATGGAGAGGTATTAACTGAAGGGAAATAATCTATAGTTGCATGGTACTACCCTGTAAAAAGGGGAGATAATCAGTATTACATGTATCAGTAAATACTGGTATATAAAAAAGGGAGAAAACCTAGTTATTGTGATCTTCATTTATAACCTGTAATTATTAAGATATACTCTTGATAAACCAGAATTTAGAGTAAAATCCGGTTAAAGGTTAGAATGGTGTAGTCAAATTATCTGTTTTTCAGAGAAATAGCATGACTACTAGTCGGTTCTGTAATATCAAGGTAATGCATGATTAATATGATTCTAGCAAATGAACCCTGCACTGACAACACAGCGAGTGTTCAAGGTGGTGTTTGTAGGAGACTCAGGTGTTGGCAAGAGTAGTTTTATCCATCGTTTCTGTAACAACACATTCAACCCATCCTTCAGTGCCACCATAGGTAAGTGTGGTATGATTAACTATGGTTAACTACAGACTCAAAACGTCTCTTCTAAACAGATTTATAGATTCAAAGCTGATCATACTTAAATATAGAAATGTAGCAGTCCTTTCTTGCACTACTTCTTTTAAAATTACTCAAATATGTACAAATGTAATTTTAATGGAAACAGCCAGCAATTTGGACATCTAAGTCATATATTGTATAAAAATTTATCAGACTTGCAAACTGATCACAAGAAATAATGTTTGGTACAGGTGTGGATTTCCAGGTAAAGACAATTGAGCTGAAGGACACAGTTGTAGTGCTCCAGTTGTGGGACACTGCAGGGCAGGAAAGGTTAGTTTTAAATACAGCCATTTGGTCTATCAATACATCTATCATCTGCATGTTGTAATGGTAAAGTTAGTCATAAAATTCAATAGGTAAACATTGACATCCAGACCCAGAATAGGTATATTTTTATAACAGTGACATTACCATTTTCAGGTTCCGCAGCATCACCAAACAGTATTTCCGTAAGGCTGATGGAGTGGTTGTTATGTATGATGTGACCTCAGAGGCCTCATTCCTCAATGTACGGAATTGGATGGCCAATATAAAGGTAAATATGTATATAAGTACGCCTGTGTGAAACTGGTCATCACAGAGAATGTGGGTCCGGATCAAGGGAGCTATTGACATGAATAGAATTAATGGTAGAATTACATTTCATATATGATCTGCTTTTTTATTGCTATCCTATCAACATCTAATGTCATTTCAGGACAGACCTTTGATAAACATTCATAACGTAGACAAATCCATCGTAAATGTGCTGATGAAATTTAATTTTATGAAAGACTGTATTCACATGAATGATGGTAATTTCAAAACGACATTTTTTTTTCTTTTCTTATACCAAAACATGTACTTTTATTATTATCATTTTATTTTATTGTTCATGAATATTTTCCGTCATTTTCAATTAGATTTTTTAAATATAGGTTTCTTCCAACATTTTTCAATTTATTCACATGCATCACAGACAGGTACAGCTGTATCAGTAAAACTATGGTAGCCTTAGTTGCTGAAGAACTATACATTTACCTTTATAACCTTTTGTTCTTCACTAGTTTACCTGTTGTCTAAAGCTGATGAACTACTAGTCTAAACCTTGTGAACTATGGACGCATAAGAGTGAAAAGATCAGTCTACACAAATCGATAGCTAAGGATTTACGCTAGGTTAAACACACATATAATGCAACTTTCGAAAACCCAAAACAACTCTGTAGTTTTCTATAAATGTCTATAAAAGTTATTGTATCAGAAATGTTGAAAATTATTGTCAAAGATCTGCATATCATTGTAAAATTTGAAATACTAATAGCATTCATCCTCTTCACAACCAAGATGTCAACTATAAATATTGAAGGATTTTTTTTCAGGAAAATGTGGATGAAAACACAGTGATTGAAATCTTAGGAAATAAAGCAGATATGGCTGAAGGAGATGATCATCGTGTTGTGCGGATGAATGATGGCAAGAAACTCTCCATGGTGAGTGACTAGATTGTAAAGCCATGTAATGATTGTATGATAATGTCTTGCACAGAATTCAGTAGAACAGATTTCTTTTATCAAGTCCATCTTCTTTGTTGATGTGTTTTTCTAACAATCTGTTTTAATCTTTTATCTGTTGTTTTAAAACTGTTTATATACCAGGTGTATAATATATATCAAAGTCACCATTTTACTTGATATTTGTTAAAAACAACTTTTTTTCCTGAAGAAGTGAAAGTTATTAACCTCAAACTGATTTGGCAAAGTTAATAAATATCCTGATGTTCTAAAGGTACATAATATTTGAAATTCTTCATTTCAACATGAAGGACAAAGATTAATCCTGACAGCACAGTCATGCTTTTTTAGCTTATGTATGCTTATTTCCATGATCTGAATTCTTAAGAAATGAAGAATAAAATGAACAAGTAAGTGAACGACAGAAAAATTGGTTCAACCTTGGCAAAGCCAGAAAATTACACTTACTACCATCCAGACATTAAGACTCTTCGAACTCTTTAGATTGGTCTTTGATATCTGATTACTTGGTTGCCAGGAGGGGAATCCCTGTGCTGTAATGTCTTAATTTTAAAGTGTTGAGGTATAAATGCAGCTTTCAAACATTGTACATGTATTTTCTCTTCAATTCCTCCATCTTATCACAATTAGGCACACATATTCATGTGATCCAGTTTTAATTTGAAGTTTGAAAACAAATGAAAATAATAACAACCACATATGGTGGAAGTGAAGGAATGTGAAACTAGGCATGTTTCGTATGTCAGTTATTCTCATATGATCAAACACAGAAATTAGAATACCATTAAGGAGATAGGGGTTCCATATGTGTTTCCTTCTCTTAAAACTTGTTTCATCTGTCAGAAAGTACAAATTTAACAAGTAGGAAATAAACTATTCTTGGGAAAAGGGTAAATAATGTTTGAACAAGGCCACCTGTATTTGGAAATTACTACATTTTGGAATCTTGATCAAATTATAAATAACAGCTAATGGACATTAACAAAGGTTATGTCATGTTTTAGGAATATGAAGCCTTGTTTTTCGAGTGCAGTGCCAAATCGGGAGCTAACCTACAAGAGAGTATGTCTGCCATGGCTGAGTAAGTACTCCAGGGTTAGAAACATCAAACTACCGAGGTCAGATATTCAGTATATCTTCAAAACTTAAAGGTTCTGTTGACATTTTACATATCCTATCTATATATGGTGTGTACATGTATCTTAAAAATTCATGAGTCTTGTTGATACTATACCTGTTCACCTACCCATGAGATGTATCTCCAGAATAGAAGTGTTCTGTAGATATTATACCTATCTTCTCTACTAATGAGGTGTATCTCCAGAATACAAGTGTTGTGTAGATATTATACCTATCTTCTCTACAAATGAGGTGTATCTCCAGAATACAAGTGTTGTGTAGATATTATACATATCTTCTCTACAAATGAGGTGTATCTCCAGAATACAAGTGTTCTGTAGATATTATACCTATCTTCTCTACTAATGAGGTGTATCTCCAGAATACAAGTGTTGTGTAGATATTATACCTATCTTCTCTACAAATGAGAATACAAGTGTTCTGTAGATCTTATACCTAGAATACAAATGAGTGTTCTGTAGATATTATACCTATCTTCTCTACAAATGAGGTGTATCTCCAGAATACAAGTGTTCTGTAGATATTATACCTATCTTCTCTACAAATGAGGTGTATCTCCAGAATACAAGTGTTCTATAGATATTATACCTATCTTCTCTACAAATGAGGTGTATCTCCAGAATACAAGTGTTCTGTAGATATTATACCTATCTTCTCTACAAATGAGGTGTATCTCCAGAATACAAGTGTTCTGTAGACATTATACCTATCTTCTCTACAAATGAGGTGTATCTCCAGAATACAAGTGTTCTGTAGATATTATACCTATCTTCTCTACAAATGAGGTGTATCTCCAGAATACACCTCATGATGATGTTATACCTATCTTCTCTACAAATGAGGTGTATCTCCAGAATACAAGTGTTCTATAGATATTATACCTATCTTCTCTACAAATGAGGTGTATCTCCAGAATACAAGTGTTCTATAGATATTATACCTATCTTCTCTACAAATGAGGTGTATCTCCAGAATACAAGTGTTCTATAGATATTATACCTATCTTCTCTACAAATGAGGTGTATCTCCAGAATACAAGTGTTCTGTTGATATTATATCTATCTTCTCTACAAATGAGGTGTACCTCCAGAATACAAGTGTTCTATAGATATTATACCTATCTTCTCTACAAATGAGGTGTATCTCCAGAATACAAGTGTTCTGTTGATATTATACCTATCTTCTCTACAAATGAGGTGTATCTCCGGAATACAAGTGTTCTGTAGATATTATACCTATCTTCTCTACAAATGAGGTGTATCTCCAGAATACAAGTGTTCTGTAGATGTTATACCTATCTTCTCTACAAATGAGGTGTATCTCCAGAATACAAGTGTTCTGTAGATGTTATACCTATCTTCTCTACAAATGAGGTGTATCTCCAGAATACACCTCATGATGATGTTATACCTATCTTCTCTACAAATGAGGAGTATCTCCAGAATACACCTCATGATGATGTTATACCTATCTTCTCTACAAATGAGGAGTATCTCCAGAATACACCTCATGATGATGTTATACCTATCTTCTCTACAAATGAGGAGTATCTCCAGAATACACCTCATGATGATGTTATACCTATCTTCTCTACAAATGAGGAGTATCTCCAGAATACACCTCATGATGATGTTATACCTATCTTCTCTACAAATGAGGAGTATTTCCAGAATACAAGTGTTCTGTAGATATTATACCTATCTTCTCTACAAATGAGGAGTATCTCCAGAATACACCTCATGATGATGTTATACCTATCTTCTCTACAAATAAGGTGTATCTCCAGAATACAAGTGTTCTGTAGATATTATACCTATCTTCTCTACAAATGAGGTGTATCTCCAGAATACACCTCATGATGATGTTATACCTATCTTCTCTACAAATGAGGAGTATCTCCAGAATACACCTCATGATGATGTTATACCTATCTTCTTTACAAATGAGGAGTATCTCCAGAATACAAGTGTTCTGTAGATATTATACCTATCTTCTCTACAAATGAGGAGTATCTCCAGAATACAAGTGTTCTGTAGATATTATACCTATCTTCTCTACAAATGAGGAGTATCTCCAGAATACACCTCATGATGATGTTATACCTATCTTCTTTACAAATGAGGAGTATCTCCAGAATACAAGTGTTATGTAGATATTATACCTATCTTCTCTACAAATGAGGTGTATCTCCGGAATACAAGTGTTCTGTAGATATTATACCTATCTTCTCTACAAATGAGGTGTATCTCCGGAATACACCTCATGATGATGTTATACCTATCTTCTCTAAAACAGTCAAATTCTCTTGGAGTCATGATTTTCTCATGACTTATTCCAAAAATACCAGTAACATATTGTATATGTATTGATCAAAAAGGGGCCTTATGGATTTCCAAAAAGTATATGGTATCACATGGCTGTTAGAAGTATGTAACTTTTGATTTACAGTAATGTAGAAATGCAATGGAAAAGACTCACACAGTGTTATCTTTATGTATGACTTGTTACTCAAATATGATATACTGGTAAAAATTCTTAGTGAAGTTTTAAAGAATTGTAAATTTTAAAATGATGTAGAATATTCTGTATTATACATGACAGTATTGGTATGATTGTTTACAGTCTGCTGAAAGATAAGGAGGATGAGGAATTGGAGAAGGCTCTACAAATACAGGATGTTGAAGTAGAGAAGAAAAAGTGCTGCAAGTGATTAAAGCATGCCAGAGTCAAAAGTGAATTCCAGAATGAAAGTATCAAATCCAAACCAATGTGATTCCTGTTGAAGTGGACTACAACATTGTTATTTATTTATACAGTTTACTGTTGATTTCAGTGATTTTGATTGATTTCTACTCCATGTGGATTGTTTTTATGTTAATTTATACAAAAATTATTAGAATTGTTTTTCGTTTATTAAGTCAAAAGTTGTCAACATTCCAATTTTGTGATGATCAGTCAGTCGATATGTTATTGTTATATTCACTGAACCTTTGACGTACGGGTAATTTTTGGGACAGCAGAGTATCATTTCTGAAAATCCTTTCTTCAGTCTTAAAGGAAATTGCTACCTACATTTGCCAACATTAGCTAGGATGGAGTTTCACAATAAATTCTATACAGAGTTATGGTCCTTTTGTTCACTTTTTTTTTGGTGGGAGGAGGGGCATATTTTCCTTGTTCAATCACCTACAATCGCACAATTATTAATGCAAGTATCTTTCAGGTGTCATTTTTTCACTCCGTACAAATTTATCAAGCAAGGGTCATCTTTTTTTTCATTCTTACATCTGATCATGGAACAGTCATAGTATTCCTTGTTAGTTTCTTAGGGGTTAATTTTTTTCCTTAAGTTGGTTAAAGTTTATTTTCATCTGTTGTTCATGTATTTTGAAAATAAAGACATGAATTAGCAGACAGAATTTTGAGTTAGAAGCAGTAATTTTTTTAAGGTTGATGAAATTACCCTAAGTTCATTTGCTCCACAAACTCATTTTGATACTAAATATAAATGTCTATTTTTTCATATCTCCTTTATCAGACACCTGATATAAATTCCTCATCAATACAAACCTGAAGTTTTTTTTCAAATATTTCTATCAGCTTATTGAAAAAATATATTAGTCTGAGGTATATATTATTAGAAATCACCTTTTGTAAATGGTTGGATGAATAAGTAACAGTTTAACATAACTAATGGTATGTCAATGAAATTGTTTACTGTAAATTTCTGTGCCATTATCAACCAGTTTCCAGCCTGTTGCATGGAGGGATAAATCTGTGTATAAGTTGTATTTACACTGAAATGTGCATGGAGTGGTGTCTAACAATGTTGTAAGATACATCAGCTTATACAAAGTTGAACAATGTTGTAAGATACATCAACTTATACAAAGTTGAACAATGTTGTAAGATACATCAACTTATACAAAGTTGAACAATGTTGTAAGATACATCAACTTATACAAAGTTGAACAATGTTGTAAGGTACATCAGCATATACAAAGTTGAACAATGTTGTAAGTTACATCAGCATATATGAAGTTAAACAATGTTGTAAGATACATCAACTTATACAAAGTTGAACAATGTTGTAAGATACATCAGCTTATACAAAGTTGAACAATGTTGTAAGATACATCAGCTTATACAAAGTTGAAAATGTTGTAAGATACATCAGCATATATAAAGTCTAATGATGTTGTAAGGTACATCACCATATACAAACGGAAGACTTTGTAAAACTTTAAATGTGTATCAGTAGACAGATATAAAACATAACTTCATTAGTTTCAGAATTATTAAAGCATAATATTTTTCTTCCTTCTAATCTATATGCATATTTCTGGTTTACCCTAATCAATATACAGTACATGGCGGTGAAGGATTGAGGTGACAGTGGATCATAAAACTCGGAATATCTATCATTTATCTCCAAGTCATGTGCAATAATTTTTCAGTCTTCCATATAATCTTTAAATATATATCAATGTCATGTTATCTTTAGAAGTAGAAATCCTGTATTTCGTTATTTTGGTTATTTCCATTGGGTGATTTTATGGTCTTTGTAGTATCATTATAAACATGTTTCTGGTTCCACATTTTATGTACATTACATTGACGATAGAGGCTATAACCACAATAGAGCCATAATCCAATTTTCAATTATTTCCAGTATCTGTATTGAATTTTCTTAAATGTAAGGGGTCATTTTTGCTTGTCCCATTGAAATGTGTTTATCGTATATATAATCTCTAATAGTTTAAACACAAGTTTTATTGTCATTAAGCAATGTGGTACTAGTTTTAACAACTTAATAACACCTAATACATCATATTACTGTGAATAAGACTGTGTTCTCGGAGAACATTTTCTCATCAGGATCTTCATGGTAATTTTTACCTCCGACTCGGAATGAGGAGGTGTAATTATTACATTATTGTCAATAATAATTTTCTTAGCAATACCAAATCTTCATGACTGGTTTTAAGTATATTAATCTATGTTATCTGCGACTCTGAATGAGGGGGTGAAATTATTATGTTGTGAGTAATATTTTTTCTTACCAGCATGGGAGCTTCATGGCTGAAGCCCAAGAGGCCAACTCATTACAGAATCAGTGGTTGACATGATGAAGTAGATGCTATTCTACTGAACAGCAACAGATGAGCAGGCTTTATTTCCAGTCATTGTATAAATACAGTACGCCTTTAAGATAAACTGGTCCAGATACTGTAACCATTAACCTTACTTCATATCCAATACAGATTATTTATTAATATAAACGGACATGGCCTCAGTGGTTCAGCACTGGAATATACACCCTTATTATGGCTGTATCCCTGTCTATGTTGGACCATTGTTGTATAAAGGGCTTGCCACAGGCCCAATTTGTCACTGACCTCTTTACAAGCTGCTACCGAGAAAATGAATGGAAAAGAAGTGAAAAATGATTTGAATATGTCTATATTTCAATGTATATCATTTGATTACATCTGCGAAGCAAATAATAAACATTCCTTACCCTAAATGATAATTTTCACCAATTTTGTTGTAGGAAACTTTGAAAAATGGAAAAAATTTCCTGCATGCAATTTAACATATCTTGACTCTTACCGTGTGTGTTTTAAACTTTATTTTAGATTTTTATATATGTAGATCTAGTAGGGGGTGATTTGTTTTGATTTTGCATTTATCGACTGCCAAATATAGCTTTTTTGTTATAATATGCTTATGAATTCATGTTGCATTAAAATTTCCATAGTAAATTTTTGTTGGTTTATTTTTATTGGTTCTAGCTTACCTTATACGACCTTTAACAAGAGTATTATAAAAACACTTGTCAATAACAAGAGTACCGCAAAGCGGAACAAAATACGCCCATGAATATCCAAAACAAAGAAGATAAATAATTCATGAATTACAGTCCTCCACCTGGTGTACTTTGATGAAAGTCAAAGGCAAGGTCACAGTGACCTACTTTTGAGGAGATCTCCGGACAAGATTTCTATAGTGAAATAAACAAAGGGGCATAACTCTTGCTAAAATCACCAAATCAAAACCCCATTCAGGAAAACACAACTTCATTTCATGGTGATTAAGCCTACCAAGTTTCATAAAGTTCGGCTAAAAATTGTAGGAGGAGATCTCCGGACAAATAAAAGTTTACGACGGACGGACAGCGCCATACCATAATACGTCCATCTTTCGACGGCTGTATAGAAATTGTATATAAAAACACCTGTCAATAAATACTGCTATGACACATATATAAAAAACACCTGCCTATGGAAGTCATGATTTCTGGTCTCATTGTAATACGGATTGAAACTTTACACAAGGCCATCTGCCTGTGAGACATTTTTCTCTAATCTCTTAAGTGGCCTTACAGAAAGGTTTGACCAGATATTCAAAATTTTATTTTAGGTCATCTGAATGACAGTCTTGACATTCTCATCTCATTATACATTACAAACACTCACACATTGTCTCAACAAGTTGGTAATTCATAACTAAAGGCGACCTTGTCTTCTCTTTATTGAATAAGTTAAAATAGTATAAGGCATTAATTACAGGAAATTGATGAATGTATCAGATATGTTTATACACATATCAAAACCATGAACATTCTCCCAGAAATATGGTAGTTCTACACAGTCCAAGTGGCTTTCTAAATAAGGATATATGTTGTAACATGATATATCATAACACTTCCCAGCAAACATCTGTATGGTACAGTGTTGCTCTATACATCCGTTTTTCACTTAACAATTATCTGCGTAAACCAGTTGAAGGGCTGGCTATCTGTAGGAGATCCACAGTCGACATCAAGACTCTAACAAATGTCTATAGATTCGGTGAATCTTCATTTACACTGTTTGAGAAGTTCTTCTAACTGTCCTTTCTTATGTAGTGCTTTGGTTTCTGAAGCCCCACCAATACACCGTCCATTTACAAACACTCGTGGTACCTGTAATACAAGCAATATATTTCATGAACACTAAAACTTGAACTATCAAACAATCTATAATATTCACCAGAACAATGAAATAACAAAAGGTTTACTGCACTGAATGACAAAATATCAACCAAGATAAAAAGGCAGATATGCTGTGAAAAGGAAACCCAGGATGAACAATGGTTTCACTAGATTTAATGAAGGGGAACAGAGATGATGGATTACAAGGCTAGAAGAGAAAAGGAATTAAATGAAATGAAGGATGACTGCTAAAACAAAGAGGATGGAAATGAATTATGTTTGAAACAAAGCTCCCATTGCAGGTCTATGCACATTTCCATCAGTCAACATCATCATCGAATTTTCATTCTTCTATGGTCCATTGTCTGTCTTTTCACAATTCTTGTTATCTCTATTTCTTGAGAAGAAATAAAAGTATCTTTCCTATGTAGACTCCTCCTCGTCACAAGTTCATGTTAATTTATAATTTATGGACTGATCAGAAAAACAAAATACCCATCAGGTGGCCATATAAGATTATGAAAATGGAAACTTGGAAACTGTTCTCTGACAATGTGGTCTACATGAATGCCCGCATAACACATTTGGGTTTAAGTTAATGTTTTAGATATTTTGTCCTGTTGATATTTAGACCAAATTGACAACTAGTCCAACATATTCTAGACCACATCACAATCGAAATAAAGCCTTTATCTGAATTTTGAAAAGTTTCCTTTAAAACATATATAGCTATAATGACTTTGACCAATATGTAACAGTCTGGACAAGGGGGTTCTGGCAAACACTTTAAAAACGTATAGCTTACCATAGCTACCATCTGTTGCTCTTGAAATTTCACATTTAAGTAGAGTTTCTATATTGATGATCAACAGAACTGAATTTTTGCTTTGGTTAATCTGATATATTGGTCATGATATATCTGTATCTGAGCTAATCAGTTAAAGTTAATAATGTAGGTTTGACTGATGTAATCGGGAGATCAACAGGATGATTCCTTCTTGTAGAAGAACCTACCATGTACACAAATCAGATACAGTCCATTATTACCATTTTGTGTGCTTTCTTTTCTACAATATGTTTACCATCTGGTCACACTATTTCTGACCTCTGACCTTAGTGTACATAGGATTATAGTACAGTGGAATCCTTACCATCTTGTTCACTATGTATGTCAGTGCCGATACACTTCACATTTGGCATTTGATGAACAGACCATGTTGTCATTGAAATGTTGCCCTAAAATCTACTAGGGGTTGTGTTGTAAGAACTTTTATTCTATTGATATTACCAACCTGAAGAAAATGTTCTCAAATAATCGACTGCTGCTAAGGAAAACTACAAACCTTCAAAGAAATAACTTGAAAACTGATTGAGGAATTCTCTAAACAAGAATAGCATTATGAAATAAACAAGAGTTTAAACCTCTTCCAAATACATATTTAAGCCAAACTGCCATTCAGGAGGAAACAACATCATCAGACATAGTAATGAAGTTCACCATATTTTATAAACACCAAAAGAAAAGAGCTCCAGACCTGATCAACATGAAAACAACGAGGCAGTAAATCTTCAAAACAAAGTCAAACAAAACAGTCTTTCAGGAAAACACAAGCTCATATCATGATGAATGAGGAGATCTCTGGACAAAGAAAAGTTTTATGCAAGACAGACTGGTAACACCAAACAATAATTCATACATTACATTAAAATTGTTGACAAACACAAAATACTTTATAAGTGTCTTAATTTGATCAATGATATTTAGATATTTAAATATTACTTACAGTATATGCATCAGTCATGTGTCCTAAAATATTCTGAATCACGTCTCCATCTTTTCTGTCATCCAGTTCAATTTTTTTGGTAGCAACTTGTAGTCTCTTAAAGATTTTGTCAGCCTCGTCACAGTAAGGACAATATGACTTTGAGAAAATGACCACACAGTTGTTGTCCACAGTTTGTTGAATATATTTTGCCTCTGCAGACTCCATGTCTACAGGACCTGTGGACTCTGCATTTCCCATCCTAGCTGAATCTGTTTCTGTTACAGCCAAAAAATGAAAGTGGGATGAAGTAAAATGCCAACTAGTTAGTATAAGTTCACCACAACTTCAAAACTCAAATTTGACAAAGCTTTGAACATCAGCATATATATATATATGATATAGTTTGTACATATATATAACCTTAAACTGGCTCCATTTCCTCTTCTTGACGATACTAATAATAATAGAATAACTGAATTATTTGTACTGTTCGAACCCAATGCTAGAACAATAGAATCCCCCACGACTACATATATAACCTATAAACGTATCCATATAACCACAAGGGTCGGACGCTTCTTCATATTCTTGTGTTAAAACCATACTGTATAAGGACACATGACATCAATAATAACAATATGTCATTCACTGACATTGCAACATAGTTTAGAATCGGACAAAGTTAAGAATTGTGAAGGCTGTCTACTTCCACTTTCTCTAACTCTCTTTTTCAAAACAGAACTTGTTTGCTTGAGGCACAGGTACAGATGGAACTTACCAACAAATTCCGATTATTTACCACTAGTGGTATAGCTGTTAAGCAGACATGCAGACGGACACGTCCGGTATCGGGTGATGTCGACGCTTGAAAGGTCTCCGTAAAAAGCAAACACACAGAAGACTACGAATCGATTACGACGCGGAAGTATACGAAATTTCACTTTAATCATCACACTTCACTTAAAGAATATCGTCGAGCACTATCAGCCGTTCTTTAACTTTTCACATTTTAATTTTCTTCTAAAATTCAACTAAAATTCTTATAGTTGACATGAAATATCAGATGTCCTCAGTACACTGGAGCGGTGTTATTTTTCTAACCGGTCCTAAATCCAGTATAGAATCTAGTAGACATGACAGTCATGGCAGCAATCTTGAAAAAAACACATTAAACTTCTACGGTTTCATTGTCGTTATTGAGCTGTAAAATTGGTACTGATGCTAGGGAAGAATACAGGGATGCGTGCGCCGGTATGTACGTCACACTTATACTTGTCAGAACTCTAGTGGCTTGAGATGTTTTCATCAAATTTTACACATTAATGAAAATCGTTGTCAGCGCTCGAACGAACTAAATATCACCCACACTTTTACAGGACTCAAATATCTCTGACAATTTGTAGTTACAGATTGTAAAGTCAAAATCAAGATAATTTTTTCATATCTTCAGATTATCATTTTGATTTTTATCAAAAGAGTTTACTTTTCAAAACTGTGAGATGAAGGTCAACGTTACTATTTAGAGAAAATCCTCGTCAACATACATCATCGCTGATTCCGTGAGGGGTCATATATTTCATTGGGCTGAACCGCAGGGGATCAGTATATGTTGTGATGCCTTGTTTGTTATAAAGACATTCTAAAGTCTATCACAGTGCGTCTGTATGATCCACGTGGAAGAGAAAAGAGAGAAGAGTTTATTCTAGTGCAGGACTTTATCAAAGTCCTCTATACCAGACTCGTACACAACAAATAATAAATAATTTTTCAATACATCGATCCGGTCTTGAACTTTCATATCAATATTCGATTGTTGCTTTGTAACTAAAGAAAAGTTCTTTTTAAATGAATTTACATTTACAGCTGAAACAACGTTTTCTGGCAGACTATTCCAAATTGACATGGTTCTGATTGGAAAATTGTTTTCCTGAGCGTATTTATGGGTCGTTGTTTTGGGAACGATGCAAAAAGAAATGCAGAGAAAATAGATGACAAAAGGCGATTTTTTCAAGAGCATGTAGACCTTCAGTTCTCGAGAGAAAGAACGATCCAATGGGTACAGCTAAAGAGATATGGCTCTCGAAGTTGGATGTTCGTAAGAAGTTTGGAAGTCAGCAGACTTGCTTTAAGCGACTTCCGGTTGTACTAATTATTATAAACAAATGTTGGAATGTAAGTTTGGCTATCCTGCAGAACTGGTATATTTTCCCTTCATCATATAGAACATCATAGATGTCTGCTGCGGCCTTAATGTTGGTCCTTCCAACAGATTTATACGGAGAGATGCCTCTTTTGGATTTAAATACGAAGAAATCCGGAGAACCATTCTTACCATTTGTTTGCTTTGAAATGATAAAATGCTTGCCTGGAAACGTCAGATAGCAGATCGACAAAACTTTGCTTAATTGTATAATTTCATTAGGTGTGAAAGGAATCGGCTAAATTTCGCCTGCTTGATAATGAAAATACTATATACTATGTGTTTTACCTTTATAATACTGAATCATTTCAGTCACAGGGACTTGACAAGAATTCCAAACCCACGGACCATATATAAGGTATCATAGCGATGGCACTATATCACATATCTATAGACTGTGATACACAATTGTACACAAGTTTATTAATTTAAATAAGATAAATATCTGTACATGTGTTTTCTGTCAAAAACGTTCTATTCCCTAGAACGATTTTTATGTGGTTACCCCTCGGCCGTCACAGGTCCTAAATGATCAAACTAAAGTAGTAAGGTTACGAACACACTTAACAAATGCTCTTGAGAGCAAACGTTGCAACATCCGATGGTTCTTTTTTTGTGAATTTGTGAAAAGACGAAGTAAAATTGTATGAAGCTTCTACATATGCGATGAATTGCATTTACTGTAAGGTGATTTCACATTTTTGTCTTTGATGCAACCTTTAGGGTATTATGTGGTGATCTCTTCAGCAGGACTTTTAGGTCCCAGAGATTTGCCGGACACATGTATTTGTTACACGCCGATTGAAGCACTGGGTTAGTGTAGATTTTCACACGTTTAGTTCCTTGCTGCAGTGAAGAGTCCTAGAGGAACTAAGGAGGTTTATGTTTTCCACGTGTGCAGGTTTTGTACAATTATATCTGTGGTATGGTCAGGTGGTTAAAATTCTATATCACAATGTAACGCATTAACGAGGATTAGCTGCTCTATAAACTCGCTCACTAATCCCTGTCACGTGGCGGATTTATTGTGCCCTAATTTTCTAGAGAGTGTTTCATTGGTGACGTCATTATGTAAGTTCCACTTGGGCCACCGTTCAGTGTTTATGGATCAACGTTCAAATCATAGGTTTTCAAGAATCGGTTAGCTTTACAGCTTATTGCAATGATTACACACGACATTCTAAGTGATATATTATAGCTTTTACACGTTGGAAATAACATTTTATATATAATATATTGAAAAGTCTTTCCGTATGACAAGGAACAAAAGAGTACACGATGATTCGCGCATCTGAAGACATTTAAAACGAATTGTGTTTAGAAATCCATGTTGACATAGTTTTAACTAATGTCAATGTTTATATCCGTACAAAATTAAGACTATACCAGCTAAAGCTAATTCTAATAACCCTATTTTCTTGCTTATAGTACAGCAATGGATTCGTACGTCTCCTGTCCAAGCTTTGCGCCGAAGCACTGAGGCATTGTTTTAGGATGATAGTGTAGAAGGTCCGCTCTACTCTTGGACTTTATTAACAATTGTGAACATTTACCTGATTGACATTGATATCAATTAAGCAGTGTTAAAGTGGAATCTGACCTCTACACCTATCCTTTGTCGTTACGATTCTCGACACGGAAATTTCCGTCAGGGTTCGCTGTACATGTGGCCACTTAGGTAAAAGAAAAAGAAAGAAAAATCCTCTACCTCAACCGATAAAAGATGTATTCTACCATTTTTACGTGAATGTGGAAATTTTGAGCAGGACCCATATATACCACACTATAACGATGCGTCCATCGTTGGATGTCGTATTGTGTCTATTGCTGTTTGTTGGGCGTGGTACTTGCTGTGTTGTGCGCTTCTGGCAGTACTACAGCATGACGGAGCTGCTGTCCTTGCCCAACATCGTAGTGTTCGGCAGGGAGATCCAAAACATCACAGTAGCTCCCGATAGGGTCGACTCTATATTCACAGTCAGCTGTGTATTTCGGTCAGACAACCGCCCCATTAGGACAAATATCACGATAGAGGGTGTGTGGCCCCGCAGCGGTTGCTCCGTCACGGCAGATGTATACGGTTCGGGCAAGGACGTCATCGTAGGACTTAAAAGACTGACTGACAGTACATTCGAGTGGGACGAGAAGAATCCTTTACAAAGTATTGCATACGAGGGTATACCATATAACCTCCTACAACTAGCGACCACGTGTGGCTTTCAGAACTGGACATCACCGGACGGAATCAATGATACCGTATGTCCAATGTGTGATTACCATACGAACGACCAAAACCCATTCCAGACTGTGTGCCTGATTGAACAGCTTGCAGATGATAACTGTACAACTGTGCCCGCGCCGACTATATCCGGTGTATGTTCGTGTGGATCTAATAGATCCAGGAATATGGAAGTGGAGACGGGTGGAGGGAGAAGAGTGTCCATCTCTGGTGGCCTAACGGTCGTAATGGCACTGTTAACATCCATCAACATCGTACGTAATAATGGTAAAACATTCATGTAGTACAAAGTCTGGGCAGCGTGGATCAAGTTTGACTACTGTTGGTGGATTGCGTTGAGGTTTTTCGTCTCTGTAAATCGTTCTATCACTAGGTCCGTGGTATTGCTACTTGTAGATATATCTGTTATATTGTATGACTTACTGTTCCGAATGAAATGACTTGCCGGTTAAAAAGAATGGACACTTTGCCTTCAATGAACGACGAAATTCGGCGAGCTTTTTGAACCGCCATTTACGAGTTAAGTACATACAAAGATTAGTGTGATGCATAAATTGATTATGCGTTTGATTTTTAACAAGTACTGCGATAATATCTCCTCTAAACGTGACTTAAGAAATCTTACCTTATAAGTTGTGTCATAATAAGAATTTGAATTAAACAGAGCATCGTCAATTACGTTGACATATCATTTCCATGTGTTGTTATGTGTACCGATAAGAACGTCGACAAAGTTTGGTCATGATGAGAATGTGTGTTGTTGCGCTGGTTTTCGAAATAGAATTGGCGTTGTTTCCTGCCGTCGACCTCATCCTTTCTTGACAGTAAGTTCTATGGTATGGTTAAATATCCAGATACCGTTTTCGTTATAGCCATGAGCTTGTAGAAGAAATTTCGTGGAAATATACCAGTAGCGTGTTTAAATCACGTTCTCGGCGACCAAAGGTCAACCATCGTACATTGATATTATCAAGTTCCACAATAACAATGCCCTAGGTAACGCACCCGAAATGAAACACACTCCAAAGGGAACACACTCAAAAGGGAAAACGCCCCGAGGGAACACACTCCAAAGGGAACACACGTAAAGTTCGATGCAATCTAAAACAGCATTGTTCCTCGAAAATTAAGGTAAATTGAAAGAGAAGAAATGTTTCCATCATGCTCTTCCCAGACAATATCTTTGGAACACCAGAAGCAACATTGTTGCATGCATTTACGGACACATTCAGGACATAACGCCATGCAATATTTATAGGGATTTATCGACTTCTTATATTAGGTTCTCCTAAATTCCTAAGTTGCAAATGAATATCTCTTCTTACAGTAGATCAAATCTCCATTTTACACCTTGTCGTTTTCGTGATTGCTTCCGAATACAAGAAATAGAAACGGCGAATTTAGTAAGTACACTACGTAACCAAAAGTATGTGGAATATTAATGGTCACACCGCGTCACTCTTATCTTAAAAAAATAACTCGCTATCATGGTAAAGATTAACGGATTTCATACGGGGTGTTTGGACATGAAACATTAATTTATAATTCGTTGTTCCAGTGTTGGTAAATAAACACACAACTATTATTAATTCCAACATTTAATTACCAAAATTAAAAATGGCACAGTGGTTAAATGTAACAAATTAACAAACATATACATATCAGTGTGACTGTTCTTAGTGTCATTTATATCACGTATATATCCTCTGTTGGTAAATGACACCAGGAACATATCCCCAGGAATGATTTAGGTAAACCACCTCTTATAAACATATACTCTATACTAAAGTTTTCTCAATGGAAAAATATACAACAGAAAAAGTTTGATAAAACTATTATCATAGAACTGGCAAACATTAACAGTCTCCAGGCAATGTTTGGGTCAACATCTAATTTGTTGTGGTTAGTACAACAATGACAAGAGGTAGCCATGAACCACATCAAGTTTGTTGTAGATAGAAACCAATATCAACAGGTAGTCATGAGCCACATCAAGTTTGTTGTAGAAAGAAACACAATGTCAACAGGTAGTCATGTGCCACATCAAGTTTGTTGTAGATAGAAACACAATGTCAACCGGTAGTCATGTGCCACATCAAGTTTGTTGTAGATAGAAACACAATATCAACAGGTAGTCATGTGCCACATCAAGTTTGTTGTAGATAGAAACACAATGTCAACCGGTAGTCATGTGCCACATCAAGTTTGTTGTAGATAGAAACACAATATCAACAGGTAGTCATGTGCCACATCAAGTTTGTTGTAGAAAGAAACACAATGTCAACAGGTAGTCATGTGCCACATCAAGTTTGTTGTAGATATATTTTTTTAAAACCCATATAATAGTATAACTTGAAACGGTTTCATTCCTTTGAAGAAATAATTTTTCTTTTTTGTTGTTTATTGGTGCATAAACTGCATTTTCAAGCTGTCATGTAGAAATATGTCTGTTAAAAAATTAATTTTACAAATAAAAAAGAAAAATTATTTGTCATATTTACATTTTGACAGCGTTTTTTATATTTACACTCCCTAAAAAACAGTAATATTCATTCATTGGTGTTATAAACACTTACGGAATATCCCAACAACTGATGGAATAGCCCAACAACTGATGGAACAGCCCAACAGCTGATGGAACAGCCCAACAACTGATGGAATACTAAAACGGTTGATTCCAATTCTGAGGGAAAGCTTGTCAACTACAGGAAGTAAACAGATAATAGCTCCACAATAACATCATCATTTAAGTGCATTTTTTTTTTTTTTAGATATTTCAATGCATTCACATATTGCATGAAGATTTCCAGTTTACACAAAATACATTCACAAAATTAGTACAAATTAGAACAAATATAACTGCAGATTCAAAATAATTTTTACCACAAAAGTATAATTTTTCAGCATCCTATGTGCCAGAGTTAAAGTTTATGTAAGTTTAAACATCAATTTTGTTAGTAAAGCCAAATAGAGACTTCACTCAGGAGATGTCAATACTGTCAAATAAAGGCCTGTTATTATAGATTTATTGCTGAAGGAACCTCTGAGAAGGCGCCTCGGAGGTACATGTTAGTATCTTAAATAAAGGCCTGTTATTATAGATTTATTGCTGAAGGAGCCTCTGAGAAGGAGCCTCGGAGGTACATGTTAGTATCTTAAATAAAGGCCTGTTATTATAGATTTATTGCTGAAGGAGCCTCTGTTATTATAGATTTATTGCTGAAGGAGCCTCGGAGGTACATGTTAGTATCTTAAATAAAGGCCTGTTATTATAGATTTATTGCTGAAGGAGCCTCTGAGAAGGAGCCTCGGAGGTACATGTTAGTATCTTAAATAAAGGCCTGTTATTATAGATTTATTGCTGAAGGAACCTCTGAGGTACATGTTAGTATGTTAACTATTTCATTGCTTTAATGATACATGACATGGAGTATTTTTTTAATATCATGGTAGAATCATACCAATAGGTCAACAAAGTATAAGACACAATTCTAGGGACATGAAAATAATTAATGCATCTTGTATAACAAACAATAAAACAGAAAAAAACTTGATTCTTAATAAATATATTAACATTCTATAAGGTAGAAAATTAAATTTAAAATAAGACAAGAAAATTTGCACTAAGGAATTTAAACACAAATAATGCTCTTGTTTCTATAAGGGAGACAACCCTTAACCGATGAGCATGTTTACCATAATTTTCACAACCTTAGTACAATGAATGACACTTGTTTAATATAGGCAAATGAATGCTTTATTACATTCCACACCAATGTCATAAATAACTATTACTGAACAGAAAATAACATATGTCCAAAACAGTTTGGAAAATATGTAAATAGTAACAGGTTATTTCCTCCAGCAAATACCTAAACAATGTAATATATTTATTTCAAATTTTTAAAAAGGAAATTGAACCATTCATATTTATCAAACAGAATTTAGAAATTTTAAAGATAAATAAATTAAGTGAAATGTATCAGAGGTTAGAGACAGCTCAGAAAAACTACTGTACTATTATTTCAATTGTTTTCTGTATTGTGCTGTAAGGGGTCCGTGATAAGGGACCTCTGGTGAAGAATTGAGTAGTGTGGTTGGAAGTTCCCTACCCATGGTCTGCAATGTCTTGGTTGTATTCTTGGCTATAGATGCTATAGATGGCATGTTGCAGGTCACTTGTATGTTGCTCAGTGAGATAGCCAGTGGCTACTTCAAGGAAAATTTGCCTCAATGGCTGTTCCTGTGGCATTAAACAAACAAATGCATGCACTGTTGTAATTAACAGGGAAGAGACGACATGCACATCTGCGATATCTGATTACTTTCCATTCTGTTACTTGACAGTAATAAAGTTGGCAGGGAAGAGCCCAATTCGCCCTCTACATGTTCCTTCCCACCAGTCATTGGTAGATTGTGTGCGAGTTAAAACCAGAACTTCCTCTCCTGAAATGAAACACAAGCAAGGATCTGTACACTTATTGATACTAAACTCAACGGTTTATACTCTTTATCTAAACCAATGTACTCTGTAATTATCTTAACCAACAGACTCTACACTTATCTAAACCAATGTACTCTGTAATTATCTTAACCAACAGACTACACTTATCTAAACCAATGTACTCTGTAATTATCTTAACCAACAGACTACACTTATCTAAACCAATGTACTCTGTAATTATCTTAACCAACAGACTACACTTATCTAAACCAATGTATCTAAACCAATGTAACCAATGTACTCTGTAATTATCTTAACCAACAGACTACACTTATCTAAACCAATGTACTCTGTAATTATCTTAACCAACAGACTACACTTATCTAAACCAATGTACTCTGTAATTATCTTAACCAACAGACTCTACACTTATCTAAACCAATGTACTCTGTAATTATCTTAACCAACAGACTACACTTATCTAAACCAATGTACTCTGTAATTATCTTAACCAACAGACTCTACACTTATCTAAACCAATGTACTCTTTAATTATCTTAACCAACAGACTACACTTATCTAAACCAATGTACTCTGTAATTATCTTAACCAACAGACTCTACACTTATCTAAACCAATGTACTCTGTAATTATCTTAACCAACAGACTCTACACTTATCTAAACCAATGTACTCTGTAATTATCTTAACCAACAGACTCTACACTTATCTAAACCAATGTACTCTGTAATTATCTTAACCAACAGACTCACTTACACTTATCTTAACCAACAGACTCTACACTTATCTAAACCAATGTACTCTGTAATTATCTTAACCAACAGACTACACTTATCTAAACCAATGTACTCTGTAATTATCTTAACCAACAGACTCTACACTTATCTAAACCAATGTACTCTGTAATTATCTTAACCAACAGACTTTATCTAAACCAATGTACTCTGTAATTATCTTAACCAACAGACTCTACACTTATCTAAACCAATGTACTCTGTAATTATCTTACTCTGTAATTATCTTAACCAACAGACTCTACACTTATCTAAACCAATGTACTCTGTAATTATCTTAACCAACAGACTACACTTATCTAAACCAATGTACTCTGTAATTATCTTAACCAACAGACTACACTTATCTAAACCAATGTACTCTGTAATTATCTTAACCAACAGACTACACTTATCTAAACCAATGTACTCTGTAATTATCTTAACCAACACTACACTTATCTAAACCAATGTACTCTGTAATTATCTTAACCAACTTTATCTAAACCAATGTACTCTGTAATTATCTTAACCAACAGACTCTACACTTATCTAAACCAATGTACTCTGTAATTATCTTAACCAACAGACTCTACACTTATCTAAACCAATGTACTCTGTAATTATCTTAACCAACAGACTACACTTATCTAAACCAATGTACTCTGTAATTATCTTAACCAACAGACTACACTTATCTAAACCAATGTACTCTGTAATCATCTTAACCAACAGACTACACTTATCTAAACCAATGTACTCTGTAATTATCTTAACCAACAGACTCTACACTTATCTAAACCAATGTACTCTGTAATTATCTTAACCAACAGACTGCACTTATCTAAACCAATGTACTCTGTAATTATCTTAACCAACAGACTACACTTATCTAAACCAATGTACTCTGTAATTATCTTAACCAACAGACTCTACACTTATCTAAACCAATGTACTCTGTAATTATCTTAACCAACAGACTACACTTATCTAAACCAACAGACTACACTTATCTTAGCCAATGAACTATTAAGATATTATATTCAAGGGGCTATGATTTGATCAAAATTTTGGAGTGATGAATAAGTTAAAATAAAAAATGAAATTAAAAGGCTGTATGCTTCTTTATATCATATCATATTCATAGGCCTCACCTTTTCTAAAGGAAATGTCACAAGGCAGCTGTGCTTCATATGCAAAATTAGCGATGGCCTTTTTTGGTGCAACATCCGCTTTATTCTTGGGGTTATCTGAAGTCACTGCTTCAGATCCTTGTTAAAAAAATCAATAATTGAAAAGTTGTTGATCAAACAAACACATTTTCTAGAATTTCTTAAATTTGTCTTAGGTTTGCCTGCTATGTGATACAAAATAAGAATAGAAGTTACTAATATATTGCATATCTGCAGGTCAACAGACACCTATCATGTAAAACATATGATCAATGAAGTAATAACAGTACTGACATACAAGGGTATAATACTGTACACACCTCTGTTACCAAGGTTTCCAGTTTAAATGCCTCTTCTTTAGACACTTCTTGGCTTACTTACTAGAATTTGCTGTTAAGATTTCCTAATACTCAAAATAGAAAAGATTTTATTGAGTGTCTTCATTTTCTGTTTGTGTAAGTATTGCCTTGTTGAAATAAAATCATTTATACTTATTTTATAGTAAAATGCTCATTAAGAATCTGATCTCATCTTTGAAAATTAACAGACCTTGATATGAGGTCCGGGTAGTTCGACTTTGAACTGTACGCTTCACAACAGTCCTTGATCCTTCAGCGGAAGAAGAGTGCTTCGTAACAGTATGTACTGATCGACATGACTGGGCTCGAGGCATAACAGAAGGGAGGTCAAACTTTGACATGGGGTCATGACTGGATAGTTCAGAACCACCGTAGAGGTTATACTGTGACCTTGACCTAGACTGGGGCATGCTGTATTTATCCATAGGATCAGACGATTTTGGCAAGCTGTATTTTGCAGTGTCCTCTGTATAGTCACTTTCACCAACACTGTGTCTAGAATGAGACTTGGGTAGACTGTACCGGCTCATTGGCTCAGATGATTCCTCATCACTACTATCCTGATAAGAAGCGGGTAGGCTGTATTTCGACATTGAATCATCAGAACTCTGTAAACCATAGTCTGAATGGGATCGAGGCCTTGGAGACTTGGCCTTCACACTTTTTGTGCTCTACAAAACCAATGCAAATTTATGTGAAAAATTATGTATCTTTATGAACAGAATATGATATACAATCAATATGTATATAAACTGAGATATATTAATTGTGTAAAAATGTTTTAGTGATTACAGAACCAGAGATCCCAGAGGGATCTTGGTGCACATCATTGTTTTATCTTCTTCTGTTCCTTAAAGTTGGAACATTTATTTTTTTGTTTTTCCCCTCTTTTCTGTTTTGCTCTTAGTTAAACGAAATTTGGATACTTTTCTGAAGATATAGCAATGATAATCTTTTACTGCTCAATCTAAGATGGTCTCCTATCAGCCACTTTGTTTTTTCTAATCAGTTATTAAATCAAATGAGGAACCTACATAGTGATAATAAACTTTCTATGTCAAAATCCAATATGGCCTCTCCTCAGTTCCAAAATCAAAGAAGGGACCAAAAGGAACAGTCTGACCAGGACGAGTGGAAGGACAGACGACAGACCTTACACATATGGCATTTGAACATCCCACCATCTGATGATAGTGGGCTAAACAAATATCAAATGAAAAACATTAATGTTTACACTTAATATGATGTCTTACGTTCAATCCAGGAAAGAAATTGCACGTTGACATTTCTTCTATTACATGTACATAGTCTATCAAACCAGTCTAGCAAACCAGTCTAGCAAAACCAGTCTATCAAACCAGTCTAGCAAACCAGTCTAGCAAACCAGTCTATCAAACCAGTCTAGCAAACCAGTCTATCAAACCAGTCTAGCAAACCAGTCTATCAAACCAGTCTAGCAAACCAGTCTATCAAACCAGTCTGTCAAACCAGTCTGTCAAACCAGTCTAGCAAACCAGTCTGTCAAACCAGTCTGTCAAACCAGTCTAGCAAACCAGTCTAGCAAACCAGTCTATCAAACCAGTCTATCAAACCAGTCTAGCAAACCAGTCTGTCAAACCAGTCTGTCAAACCAGTCTAGCAAACCAGTCTATCAAACCAGTCTAGCAAACCAGTCTATCAAACCAGTCTATCAAACCAGTCTAGCAAACCAGTCTGTCAAACCAGTCTGTCAAACCAGTCTAGCAAACCAGTCTAGCAAACCAGTCTATCAAACCAGTCTAGCAAACCAGTCTATCAAACCAGTCTATCAAACCAGTCTAGCAAACCAGTCTATCAAACCAGTCTAGCAAACCAGTCTGTCAAACCAGTCTGTCAAACCAGTCTAGCAAACCAGTCTATCAAACCAGTCTATCAAACCAGTCTGTCAAACCAGTCTAGCAAACCAGTCTATCAAACCAGTCTAGCAAACCAGTCTATCAAACCAGTCTGTCAAACCAGTCTGTCAAACCAGTCTAGCAAACCAGTCTATCAAACCATTACAGACTACAGTTATAAATTACTGTTCTTCAAATGATTAACCCCTAATTTAGTAACATTATCAGTTTAATGATGAAGGCACCATTTTTTTCAGAGTTTCCTGCTTTTTGACTTTGATATTGGAATTCAGCAAACAAGGCCTTGTTAACCTTGGAATTCAGCAAACAAGGCCTTGTTAACCTTGGAATTCAGCAAACAAGGCCTTGTTAACCTTGGAATTCAGCAAACAAGGCCTTGTTAACCTTGGAATTCAGCAAACAAGGCCTTGTTAACCTTGGAATTCAGCAAACAAGGCCTTGTTAACCTTGGAATTCAGCAAACAAGGCCTTGTTAACCTTGGAATTCAGCAAACAAGGCCTTGTTAACCTTGGAATTCAGCAAACAAGGCCTTGTTAACCTTGGAATTCAGCAAACAAGGCCTTGTTAACCTTGGAATTCAGCAAACAAGGCCTTGTTAACCTTGGAATTCAGCAAACAAGGCCTTGTTAACCTTGGAATTCAGCAAACAAGGCCTTATTAACCTTGGAATTCAGCAAACAAGGCCTTGTTAACCTAAAGAATCACTAATAAATATTTTACTGTCAATGTGTTAAAGGTCAATGTGTTAAAGGTTCATCAGTGACAAGTGAAAAACAAGAAAAAAGTTTGTTAAAGATCAAAGTTAACAGTAGAATTAAGACACTTTGTTAGCACTTATAAAAGGAAAGGGGCAATCATGTAAACATATGTAGTGTGACCATATCAGGAATTATTTCAATATAACGATAAACAAACGGGAAATTGGTTTTTTTCTTTTTTTTCTTTTTTTTTTCTCTCTAAATTTACAAAATTAAGGGTCCTATGAGGACAGGTTTCAAGACGGACACCACAAGTGGAGAATAAAGCACAGAAAAAAGTCAGGATCCCATGGAAAGTGTTATAGTTGGAGGCAGGTCTCTTCAATGGCCCATTAGTAGCCTTGGAGACATGGAAGGGAAACACATTTTACAGGAAGTCCACTTTTAGTTGGCCTCCTACAAACATGCAAGGGAATGCAGCAGATACTATTCTTGGGATCTCCAATATCCCCTAAACAGAAGACAACAGAATAACCATCCCCAATATGCCATGGGTGCTACATGGTTAGTCGCCTTTCACGACATGCAATAACATACATCAGGTATATTCTTTTACCTGCTCCTGCACAGGAACAATTCAGAGATACAAGACAACAGAAACGAGAAGGCTGAACAATAAGGGAAGAATTTGATGGCAGAGGGCAATTTTTCATGATGCAACATTATAAAGACCAAACTTTGCTATAAATAGTACTTACATATGCTGAAATTCTAAAGAAATAAAGCACTTCTAGGTAAATATGAGTTTAAAATTATTTTCAGAACAGGATTCTTTCCTTGTTACATTCCACACACTTGTTCATATCAATATGTTGATGGGTGTTCAAAGACACTATAAAATGTATTTCTATCTTGATATATCCTATATATCCTACGCCATGTCAGAGTGAATGGCCACTGCATATGGTTATGAAACCAATATTTGAAATCTTAAAATGAAATTCAAGTAATATCCTATCATATCAGAACTGTTTCAATTTAGTTGATATGATTAAATAAAATAATTACAGAGAATCGGTCCTTGAGTTTATCGCCCAAACCATGAGCATGCTTAGAGGCAGTTTTCTTAGCCAGATCTAACATCTGTTTCTCTGCTCGTTTTCTATGCATCTCGAGGGTTTCGTACAGTGCACTGCATTCCTCTGGGCGTGGAATTTCACCTGACAAAATCTGGTAGGCACGCACATCTTGACCGTAAAATCTGAAACCCAATAAATTTAAAGACAAAATAAAATTCATTGATAAAACTAAAAATAGAAATCTTAAATCTGTTTGTTTATTCAAAATACAATTTCAAAGTGGTTTGTCAAATAATAAAAAAATCTGTCCCAAATTTCACATCTATTCTCAGATCTTTTTAAATATTTGAATTATTACTACAGGAAATTCTACAAGATATGCATTCACATAGAAAAGAGAAATACTCTGAATGTGAAAATACAAATGAAGTTCCTTTAACAGGAAAGGAAATAAGATATTTACATTGTAGTATTGAATTCAGAATTACAAGATTACTAAGTGTGTAAAGTGATTATCAATACTCATATCATGTTGTTTTGTCAGATAAATCCAAAAATAACCCTGACATGAAAGTTACTATTCAATATTTTATACTTTTGATGGAGAAGTGTACTTTTTATTAGCATCCTTCCTCTCTATCAAAGCACTTCCTTCCACAGAAATTCCAGCGAACAGTCCCTTTGTCTTCGAGTAGGTGTAGATAGCGGCAGGACTTCTAACAGCTATATCCGCCTCTAGGTTACGCCCAAGGGGGCCAGCAGCTATTGAGAAATTACCTCCAAGGGTCAAATTCCCACCCTTAGAGAAAGCATCAACTGATGAACGTGAGTTGAGGATGATGACAAAATCAGTGACCTGATGAGAAAAGAAAGAGAGGAATATGTAACAGATCAGATTGTTTAACTGCCGGACAGGGTCAAAGTACACATATGAATTGGACCATGAGAGAGATAATCGGCACACTCTACATGTAGCTATAGCTCATTTCCTGCTATAGGTTGTGTTTCTGTAAACTAAAAGGTTGAATTTCAATCTCTCATATTTTCACAATTATTTCTTAATTAACCAAAACCTGGAAAGCATTCATATTAACCTCTTCATATCTATAAAATGGTAGAATTAGATATTTCAGTTAACTGTACCTTTATATGTTAATCATTTGGTACAAAACTTTCACTGACACTATGAATTATTAAAACACACCTCTGCACCAATTTCAAATCCACCTCCTAGTCCAGCAATGCCCAGGGCTGATGGTGCAGACCATTCTGAAAAGCACATCAGTAGCTATAGACGAGGGTTTTATAAAACTTTCCATGGAAATATAGTGTTATGGTAGTGTTCTATCGAAGAATTTGAAAAGAAATTCATAAAGTAGAAAGTAATAGTGCATGACAAGTTCTTTTTTTAGGTCTGGATGAGAGACATCACAACATTAGCTGATACAACCAGAATCTCAGCCAATTACAACTAAGGTGTTGTGTGATAAATATACTTTTCTTTTTGATTTTCACCATATACCTGCATCAAGGTCATCCCCAACCTTTGCAATAACAATGCCACTTCCTCCTCGTGCTGTAACTAGGAATCCAGCCTTCACCACAGTAAGGATAGCCAATCCCTTCGCCTTCAGCAAGATACCAGCTAAAAGTCAATATTCGTAGAGTACATGTATAGTTTTCTGTTGGAATTGGATAAATAAAGGACTACAGGCGATGCATGATACACAGAGGAATTGTAAATCATTAAAAGTTCCATATAAAAGATGCCAATAATTTTTGTTTCAGTCATCCATTTCTCTAACTGTCTGAACTAAACAATAGAATTTAGATAGGGTCTAATAGCCAAAGAGTGAATTAATTACTACTATCCTTAGGTGTGGAATATAGTTTACTTTTTAAAACCTAATTAATCCTCTCACAAATCTGAATAATTTTCTGATTTCAGTAATCTCCAAAAAGAACAAATGACAAAGAGGGTGATTATCATGAGTATGAATTGTAATGTTTGATAGTATATCATTACCTGGAATAAGTTTGTCTGGCCCAAGGTTTGCTGATGGAACCGTAAAGCTACGTAAGATCTTGGCTGCTTTCTTTGCCTCTGACCGTAGACTGTGTGGTATAGGTGTGTTGACCATGGTATCAGGTTACAACCATCACAACTCTGTCATCTATTTCACAATGATAGCATACATGCAATTGATGTGAAGGATTCAGACTTAGCAAAGATTTGCATGCATTCTTTGCTGGGAAGCTGACATGTATTACACATTTATTCATGTGATATGCATAGCTAGGACTATTAACCCTAGCGTGGTTCTTTAACAAGCTTGAACACTATCTTCAAATGTCAAAATTCATAAAAGGCAACAGGCACCATATTGAATAGTGGATACATGAAAAAAAATGCAATTATATTGTAAACCAGTGAGCAGGTATGTTACTACAGTCTCTGTCACTCAGCTGACAAGTCATGTTTCTTTGGTCAGCTGTAGAGTCATGAATTATCATGATGTTATTTGTTATATTTATTATTTTACTGCAATCTTCATTAAGATAAGGAACGATTCCAAAGTCAGCATACAGCACGAAACACCGTAACAACTACTCCAACAGAGTTAGAGGTTTTACACGGCGAGAAATTTATGACAAGCGTCGCAGTCTGCGCAATAATGTCAGAAATAATAAAACGACCGACCAGCTGCCTCTTATGATATAGGAGTACGTAACAACATACTGGGCTTATAACGTGATAACTGTTCATGTTTACATCATACATGTGATGTAGAAACTAAGAAAATACAACCTTTGGTAAAAACAAAAAAATAATTGAACGGAATACTGATTTAAATGTTACATATTGACTGAAATATCTTATCATAACGGGGCATCATTTCCAACATTACAAAAATATTTCCTTATTCTACTTTCTTACGTCTTACCCTTATTATTACTGTCAAGCAGAATGAATCCGGAAGTCAGTTAAAATTTTAACAGAGTTATCTCCCATTATTACATATTAGGTTGGTGCTAAATAAAGGAAATTGTATACAGGAGACTGTACTATGATGTTAATAGTCAGCACTGTGCTATAGCTTTGTAAATACGATGGACTTATTATGTGAAGTGGTAAAACTATAGTTTACCCGTGATAACCTTCAACCACAACAAGAAACTCTCTTACGCTATCTGATTTATTCTTCATTCTTTTAACAAGGCGAACTGTATGCAATCATATTTGATCATTAGTATGCGCCACAAAATGATGACAACAAAAGAGATTGGCATCTCATTTAGGAGAAAACGGGGTTGGGGTTCCTTTTGCTTGTATTATTTTTTTTTAGAATTCGAAATTCGACAAGAAACGTCATGTGGTCTCTTGTAGATCATAACACCGCATAATACACGAAAAACCGACTCAGGTAGGGAATTCTGATATTCAGCTGATCATGACTGGCAGGATAGTTTGAAATCCTTAAATGTAAGCTTGCTATACATCTTACGGGTCGACTTGTGCATAACGTATTAAAAAGATTTGTTATGTCAGAAATATTCGATCTGGTCCCATCATCACTGATCATTCTGTCACTAATCAAAATTTGTTCTCTTATGTATATTATCGTCGTGTAGTCCTACATATTTGGAGATAAGTTTTAAATGAGGGAACTTCAAACGCTGATGCTATGATAAAGAGAAAAGATGGTATGGCATATATATAAGACAACATACTTTCAATACATGCAAATTATTACAGGGACTTGTCAGGGAATTTCCAGCTCATGTTGCCTATATATACCGTGGATGGGAATTTGTGCCAAGTTCGTGTGCAAATTATTACTTCAAGATGGTTACTGAAAAAACCCAGCAGGGATTGGTATGTAACATTACATACATTAAAATAAGTGAGTTTCTGATAAAACGTGCATTTACAGAAGACATGTTCATATGCAGAAACTAATCTAATCACATGCAAAACCCGACCCTGGCTATGGTTAACTCAAAAGGTAGCTAATTCACTAACACAGGAAAGAGTGTATCCAGACTTATTAACAGACCTATAAACAGAGGCAAATGTGCAAACTGGAAAGTGACATGAACTACTAACAACCATCTTGAGGTTGGATACTTGAGATCACTGTCCGTTTATATCTTTTTTAAGTAGGTCCCTATTAGGATGCTTACTTATTTCATACTATAATATTCGAAAAATTAGATTTGAAAACATTTTCGCTTTGAAAAAACAACTTAAACTTTTTCTATACTTTGCTTATCTACCTACTTTGAGGAGAGAATATGTCGCTGTGAGGCTTAATGAAGTGTTGATGAAAGTTGTCATGCATTGAATGTTTAAGAAATGTAAAATTTCTTATATTGTATTTACACCCAATCAATGATCTTTTGTTCATCATTTCAGGGAAAGTTTATATGGCATTAATGTGAGAAAAAAGGAAATTATGTTGACCATGGCACAAAGCATTACAACAATGAATGTACCAGAACTGTATGAAAGAACAATAGGAGAAATTGAAGAAAGTATGGAGTTGCTCCAAACCCCAACATGCTCTGAAGAGACACCAAATCTCGTTAGAAATGATGTTAATTGCAACGAGTTTGATCATACAAGTGACCAACAGAAACCACCCAAATGTATTGGTGAGCGACCATATACATGTTCTGTATGTGGTAGGGGATTTTATGAGGAAGAAAAGCTTCAAAAACATCGAAGTCGACACAATGGAGAGAAGCCATTTAAATGTGAGATCTGTGGTAAGGGTTTGAGTAGGTCTACCCATTTACAAGAGCACATCAGAACACATACAGGAGAGAAACCTTTTGAATGTGATGTGTGTGGTAAGACATTTAATCAAACAGCAAATCTATTGAGACACACCAGGACCCATACAGGGGAGAAGCCGTTTGAATGTGATGTGTGTGGAAAAGGCTTTAGTCTGTCACAACACCTGAGAACTCACTACCGATCACATACAGGAGAGAAACCCTTTAAGTGTGACATATGTGATAAAATGTTCAGTGAGTCAGGTAATCTTCAAAAACATACCACTACACATACAGGGACAGAGTCGTATGGGTGTGAAGTGTGTGGGAAAGGATTTACCACAAGTTCTAGTCTTCATTCTCACATCAGAACACATACAGGAGAGAGACCGTACAAGTGTGATACCTGTGGTAAGGAGTTTAGTCGCGCAGATGTACTTCAGCGGCATATCAGGACACATACAGGAGAGAAGCCCTATAGTTGTGATTTCTGTGGTAAGAAGTTTAGTCAGGCAAGTCAACGACAGAAACATCACAGAATACATACAGGAGAAAAACCATACAAATGTGACGTCTGTGGTAAAAATTTCAGCTTGATTCAAAATCTGCAAACCCATATGAGGACACATTCTGGAGATAAACCTTACAAATGTGACATCTGTGGGAAGGATTTTAACCACAGATCTAACCTAAAGACACATATTAAAACACACCTAAAAGATAAAGAGTTTAAATGTGATGTTTGTGAAAAAAGTTTTTCTACATCAAATGATTTACATGCACATGTTATGTCACATACTGGAGAGAAAGCATTTATATGTGGTGTGTGTGATAAAGGTTTTAGTAGATCTCAATATCTTAAGATACATATGAGAACACATACAGGAGAAAAACCCTACAAGTGTGATATCTGTGGTAAAGAATTTAATGACTCGCGTGATTTGAAAATACACATTAGAGGACATACTGGGGAGAAACCTTATGTGTGTGGTATCTGTGGTCAGGGCTTCAAGCAGACATCTAATTTAACATCACACCTCAAAAAGCATTCTGAAGAGAAACCATTTGTGTGCCATGTTTGTAGTAGGGCATTTAAACGAGCAAATAATCTGAAGACGCACATGAAGACGCATACAGGAGACAAGGCACACACTTGTGGTGTCTGTGGTATAAAATTTAGTCAGTTTTGTAACCTACAGAGACACCTAGTGACACATTCTGATGATAAAGAAACAGTTGGTGAGATGTATCTGGTGAAGAATTCCCACAAATCTCCCTCCTTCATTACAGAGACACAGACAACCTATGTAATTCCTACTTAATATATCTTGACCAACATGATAAGCTATATACTAAGAGGTGGTATCTAAAACATGATTTATACAAACCTAATCCACTGATCGCACGAAGGAATGAGTAGCATATGTCTGTAGTAAGTTATGAATAGTTAAGGTAAATCTTTCATTTATTTTATAGATACAGAAAAGCTACATTAATCCTTAGCTTCCAAACATCTCAGAACTAAAAGGAAGATTGTTCTCTCTTTAAGGAACAGGCTGTAGGGCCTCTGGCACAAATATATGATTTATAATATATACTGTATAATTAGCTTGAGCCTTAATGAAGAAGCATCTTGAAACACATGCTTGGAAAAATACATGCTTGTTCACATATGATGTAGTATTACATCTCATTTGTCACTGGTTAAAGAGGAATTGTAACCTAGAACACTTTAACTTTGGCTTATATAGGCTTTTTGTTAATTTGCTAGACAATGAAATATAACAAATGTGATTCAGTGTATACAATTATTTTCTTTACATTCTCTATATGTCAAACATATATGGGACTTTTTCCCTTTTTCTCTCTTTTAAGGAGAATAGTGTTCATAATATTACTGTTATTATTTTTAAAATTGTTCAAACATTTTAATGATTTTATATAAATATATTGTTTTGATATAAATAATTTTCTCTGGAAGCTTGAAGTTGTTTTGTTAGATATGAGAGTTTAATTTATTACATATTTGTGCTCATTACTAATAGAGCTGGCTTTCTATTAGAATTTATAGCACATCATCATCAGATGGTGGGCCATCCACATTGCTTTTTGTCCAAGATTCCTCGTCTGAAAGGCAACCATCTTGGATTTAGCAGTTGAAGCTGTTAAAGCATTTTCATTATTATTTCTTAAGAGTCATTTTCAAATTTCATACACCTAGGTAATAAAGAGAAAAAAATTAGGGGCGAGGCATCTTCAATACTGCTGGGATTGTGATCAGTTTTGCTGTCTACACCCCTGGAACATTCCATGGCAGAATTGAAGGCACAAGCAAAGTAATTTGATTGGTTCCAGGAGAAATAAACTGACCATTTATAGGCTGATACACTCCTGTAAAAGATTACAAAGGAACGAGACCCAACTTCAAAGCCATTGCAATATATATTATGCACCTGGAGATTTATATGATGTACATCAGAGGATCTTATTAGTCTTTTCATCTAGACCACAATTTTGCCATGACATGTTCCAGGAGTGCAGAGATTGAAGGTGATGTAACCTCTAGAGTATCACAGATGGGGGAGGGGTAGAAAAAATATCCAATTAAAGATCAAACGGTGATGGGTGCCAAGATCTCTGTGGGAATTCTTGTTATCAACTTGACATTGCCTGTACAACTGGTATTTTTAATGAAATTTTTATATAATGATCCTACTGTCTTAAAAATAATTACGTATATAGAATAATGAAAATTCTATGATCTATGGAAGCTTTAGAATTTTTTGTTATTGATTACTTATTGTAAACCTATTGTTTATACATACACTGTATGTACAATGTGTGTGACAAGGTTTTAGCTTTGGATATATATCAAACAAAGAAGAATTTGTACATTGTTGATAGAATGGCACAACAGTTCAGACTAACAACTGCTTTGGTATTATATATACTGATATAAACAAGTTATCTTTAAAAAACTTCAGATTTTTAACTATTAATACATATTGTAATATGTATAGTCCAGTAGGCTTAAACTTATCTTGCTTTAAGCTGGTGTATAAAACTGATATTGTAATGTGTTGTCAGGATTGTCACCGAGATACTTTGGTATTTCAGTACATAAAGCTGTTAGCAACAATGCGTTCAGTTTTCCTGTTTTGAAATACTATTTGTAGTGTGAATAAAGATATCAGAGATTTGATGTTTCCTTATTAATGAACTAATTCAGATTTATCTACATATATATATATATATATATGCAGTTTTTATGTTTTGATGATTTTATCACTCTATGAACAGCCAATCATTTTGAGGCAGGGTCTCCTCTATAGCTAGCTTGTTTTAGCTGTTGGCTATACCTCACTAAGCAATGGGAGGCCCATCACATGCCATTCAGAGCAGTATTAATGATAATGATGTCTCGCCCAATGGCACACAGATATGATCAGTCTGTATAGAGATTTCTGAGACAGCTGACACCACTGGACTATGACTTACATAAGTCTATCAATGGTTATCAATTAATATTATTCCAAATCATTTGATTTTCGTTTATTTATTTAATCTTGACAATTTTATGTTTCATCTGTAAAGCATTTTGTACAACCGCTGCTGACTTCGACTCTTCTTGGTTCAGTCTTTGATGAAGTTGTTACAGAACACATCCACACATTATTCTGCCTCTCACTGACTTCATTCAGTCTATGTAGATATAATATATTTCGGGATGTCCAAATGTTGAGAGTCACGGTACAATCCCTAATTTGCCTGCCCACAATGCTTTGTGATAGTGAAGGGTTGAAAGCAATTAGCACTAAAGTTGATTTTTGCTGCCTTTTTTTACCTTAACATTCTTGTTTTACCTTTTTCTTGTCCTTGTCTTTTGATCTGTTTGTATTCCCTAGAACAAATAGAAGCAGTGTGTTTTTGTCTAAAGTTAAAGTGTGACGTCCTTTCTGAATCTCCAATATGTCCCTTAAACGCCTACTTATGACCAAGTTGGATGTTCCTCGTAATTTGTTATTGCTGTCTATAAACGAATGTGTGTGATTCTGGCTTCTCTCACGTTTGGACTTGGTATAGTACCTCAGGATTGTACACTAAACACACAATTTATATAACACCACATGAAAGTAGACATTATTTCATCAGGTGGGAGAAGTTCTACAGGACTTGTTTTTAATTGTACTCTCAGTGAACTCTTAATTGCCATACTCTTCAAACTGATTCAGTCAGTCGTGCAGTATTGCACTGTGATATCTTTTAATGCCCGACGATTTAAAAACGTGATATTTTCTAGAAGCAGTCTTCGTTGGGAGATTTTTGACAATTATGCTTTTTTTTCTTAATGATAAGAGGACCATGGCCCTTAATAATCGGGACAATTGACAGATGGAAGAAAAGAGTTATGTTGGATTTTGGACCAATCCAAAAATCAGATTTGGTCAGGACTATCTCATGTCACTTGTTCACATATGCTATCATTGACTTTCCCTGGTTGTTTCAGATGCTAGAAAATGCATGTTTGTGTCATTTTCATATCTGATTACCGGTATCATGATTGTCTCGAAACGTGCTAATTAAAATGTATAGATTGATATTTTCTGAATATATTGAACTGAAATACTGTCAAATAGAGTTAATTAGCCTTGCTGTGTTTATATAACTTGCCTAATTGAAACAATGTAGCAAGAATGAAATTGGGAAATTGACCATTCATGTAATTTCTGATAGGACGCATGGGGAGCAGGGGATGACCATGGGCCTGCTGTCGAGGTGTGAAAATCAATTGCCCTAGGGCGTATAGCAGTTATTACATATGTCCAGAATAAAGGTTTCAATTCAATTTATTTCTGTAACTTATACAACTTATTGGATAAATAACAGTTACAAGGACAAAGACACTCACACTCTTACCATAATGCACACTATAAAATTATTCTTAATGTTGGTATAATATTTTCAGAAGAAATCTTTACATACTTATTACATGTAAAACCTCTCTCTCTCCCTCTCTCTCTCTCTCTCTCTCTCTCTCTCTCTCTCTCTCTCTCTCTGTGTGTGTGTCTGTGGTTGTGTGTGTGTGTGTGTGTGATATCTGTATCTAATTCTCCATAACGTTTCGTATTCATATCGTTACTCGAGTTATCGTAATTCTTCATGAATCTGTCAACTTCATCATTTAGATAAGAGTCAACTGACGCCAAATTTTTTAAATGTCCAAAGAAATCTTCGTTCATCAAATCACTTTCTTTTTTAAACATCTGTAGATTTTTTCGTATTATCTTTTCTCGTGTAGTTCATTAAGTTCTCTATCAATGTTTTTCTTATCAATTGGTGAGTAATGTTTCACACCAAATTTGGGTTAAATCAATTCAATCTTTAAGGAAGAGTAGAATTTTGAAGCAAAATATTGTCTAATTTCCCCTTTTGGGGCCCCGTCCGCAGGTCCTTAGGTATCGAATCACTTTGTGAATATAACAAATCATTATCTTCGCCCAGTGATGCATCAGACCAATTCTGGTTGAAATCCACCATGCCATGAAGGAGGAGTAGCATTTTAAAGAAAAAAGTTCAACATGCCGGACGAAGCACGATAGCAATAGGTCATCTTGACCCTCCGAGTCTCAAATGACCTAAAGGTCAAATCAGTTCTATCAATTTACGAATAGTGAGCGACATTCAAAAAAATATAAATTGAAGTTTCACATAAAATGTAGGATATATATGCTTATGGAATGGATATTTTTAACAACGATAGTTTATAACTTATTAATTAAGACGATATAGCAATTGTATGGTATATATTTATTGGATGATGCCCGACCACGTTGGTCTGTGTCGGCTATGGATCTTCGATGCTGTAAACCAGACAGTGGCAGCACATCGTTTGCCCTTGGTAATGGCCTTGACCCCGTGGAGATGGTCACTCGGAAAAGCCACCATTCGCCCACACTTTGGAACTATAGATACCTAAACAAAACAATACATCATTTGGACTTTAGCTAAAACTCGTTATAAAATTTGGAAGGGGATTTATAAGAAAACCGCATCTGTATCATCTGTTCCCTGTTCATAAAAAATCACACAATGGCCAGGTAGTCATCAAGTCAACTGAGGAGATATTTGATATACTTCATATCTCGAAGTGCAGTACCTACGTAACGGGTATTGCGAATGTAGGAACGACAACTCTGGTACAGATTGCTGATATAACAGAACTCTAATTTTCATGTAGATCTTTTTGTTGCCAGTTGTTTGCGATCGATAGTAGTAATATTGTTTTAACTAATTTTATTTTGTTTCAGATTCCATAGATATGTTTTTACACCATTTGTAAGAAATGAGGCCTCTAGAATGTCGTGCAAGACCAGGAATCACGGTTTGATTTAAATTGTTATATTATTGATATTAATAACACAATAATGGCCATTTGGTTCTTAATCCACATTAATATTACCTGTTCGGATTTGTCTGCATTGGCAAAGAAAAACTTTCCACCTTCAAAGTTATCGTTGAAATACAGCACGGCACTGGAAAACAAGAGAACCAATGTTGTATCCGTGGGCCATAATATTTATACCAACGCGCTTAACGATTAGTTCTTGACGAGCGCTTCGTAACATGAACATCTTATATATGTTCTCGTTAAGTACGTAGGTAATAAGAGTTTAATTATCTCCCTTGTCTCAAACAATAACCTGATGAAGCTTGGTACTATCAATGTCTATATTGGTATCTATTAATGACTGCATTTCTTACGTTACAAACTTTACGCCATGCTACATATAAAATATACATACATCAAGGGTATCATAGTTTTATATCTGTCTTAAGTTTTCTGTAATTTATTGAAACATATAGAAGATACATACATCAAGGGTATCATAGTTTTATATCTGTCTTAAGTTTTCTGTAATTTATTGAAACATATAGAATATACATACATCAAGGGTATCATAGCTAGTTTTATGTCTGTCTTAAGTTTTCTGTAATTTATTGAAACATATAGAATATACAAACGTCATGGGTATCATAGCTAGTTTTATGTCTGTCTTAAGTTTTCTGTAATTTATTGAAACATATAGAAGATACATACATCAAGGTTATCATAGTTTTATATCTGTCTTAAGTTTTCTGTAATTTATTGAAACATATAAAATATACATACATCAAGGGTATCATAGCTAGTTTTATATCCGTCACTAATTTTCCATAATTTACCTGTATGTTCGCCATGGATATGCAGCAGTTTTTACAGAACACACTCCTTCGTCTGGTTTGAAATCGCAGCTATCTCCATGAATAGGATGGCTTAGATCCTCGCTTGTGCGGTTCGTCTGTTTCCCTTTACAAATATTTACTTAGTTAAAACCGAGTACATTTACTTTTTATTGAATCTGAGATAGGAAAACATACACCCAATACTGTAAGTATCACTGATCTGATTTAACAGGAATTTTCTACACAATATACAAAAATGAATAGCAACTTTTAATACAAATTTATAATAAGATACAGTAGAACAAAATAACGAAAAGAACTGAATCACATAGCTGTTTCATCCTTCTAGGACTTGTCAGTGATGTTACATCATACAGCTGTTTCATCCTTCTAGGACTTGTCAGTGATGTTACATCATACAGCTGTTTCATCCTTCTAGGACTTGTCAGTGATGTTACATCATACAGCTGTTTCATCCTTCTAGGACTTGTCAGTGATGCTACATCATACAGCTGTTTCATCCTTCTAGGACTTGTCAGTGATGCTACATCATACAGCTGTTTCATCCTTCTAGGACTTGTCAGTGATGCTACATCATACAGCTGTTTCATCCTTCTAGGACTCGTCAGTGATGCTACATCATACAGCTGTTTCTTCCTTCTAGGACTCGTCAGTGATGCTACATCATACAGCTGTTTCATCCTTCTAGGACTTGTCAGTGATGCTACATCATACAGCTGTTTCATCCTTCTAGGACTTGTCAGTGATGTTACATCATACAGCTGTTTCATCCTTCTAGGACTTGTCAGTGATGCTACATCATACAGCTGTTTCATCCTTCTAGGACTTGTCAGTGATGTTACATCATACAGCTGTTTCTTGTTTCTAGGACTTGTCAGTGATGTTACATCATACAGCTGTTTCGTCCTTCTAGGACTTGTCAGTGATGTTACATCATACAGCTGTTTCGTCCTTCTAGGACTTGTCAGTGATGCTACATCATACAGCTGTTTCGTCCTTCTAGGACTCGTCAGTGATGCTACATCATACAGCTGTTTCGTCCTTCTAGGACTCGTCAGTGATGCTACATCATACAGCTGTTTCGTCCTTCTAGGACTCGTCAGTGATGCTACATCATACAGCTGTTTCATCCTTCTAGGACTCGTCAGTGATGCTACATCATACAGCTGTTTCATCCTTCTAGGACTCGTCAGTGATGTTACATCATACAGCTGTTTCATCCTTCTAGGACTTGTCAGTGATGTTACATCATACAGCTGTTTCATCCTTCTAGGACTTGTCAGTGATGTTACATCATACAGCTGTTTCGTCTTTTTAGGACTCGTCAGTGATGCTACATCATACAGCTGTTTCGTCCTTCTAGGACTCGTCAGTGATGCTACATCATATAGCTGCTTTGTCCTTCTAGGACTCGTCAGTGATTCTACATCATACAGCTGTTTCGTCCTTCTAGGACTTGTCAGTGATGCTACATCATACAATTGTTTCGTCCTTCTAGGACTTGTCAGTGATGCTACATCATACAGCTGTTTCGTCTTTCTAGGACTCGGCAGTGATGCTACATCATACAGCTGTTTCGTCCTTCTAGGACTTGTCAGTGATGCTACATCATATAGCTGCTTTGTCCTTCTAGGACTCGTCAGTGATTCTACATCATACAGCTGATTCGTCCTTCTAGGACTCGTCAGTGATGTTACATCATACAGCTGTTTCTTCCTTCTAGGACTTGTCAGTGATGCTACATCATACAGCTGTTTCGTCCTTCTAGGACTTGTCAGTGATGTTACATCATACAGCTGTTTCGTCCTTCTAGGACTTGTCAGTGATGCTACATCATACAGCTGTTTCGTCCTTCTAGGACTCGTCAGTGATGCTACATCATACAGCTGTTTCGTCCTTCTAGGACTTGTCAGTGATGCTACATCATACAGCTGATTCGTCCTTCTAGGACTTGTCAGTGATGCTACATCATACAGCTGTTTCCTCTTTCTAGGACTCGTCAGTGATGCTACATCATATAGCTGCTTTGTCCTTCTAGGACTTGTCAGTGATGCTACATCATACAGCTGTTTCGTCCTTCTAGGACTTGTCAGTGATGCTACATCATACAGCTGTGTCGTCCTTCTAGGACTTGTCAGTGATGCTACATCATACAGCTGTTTCGTCCTTCTAGGACTCGTCAGTGATGCTACATCATATAGCTGTTTCGTCCTTCTAGGACTCGTCAGTGACGCAAAGGCCTAAACATTGTAATACATGAGGCAACTGAAGAAACCCCAGAGTGAATGATTGAAATGTCAAAATCTAGACGCATTACATGCGAGACAGATGACAAAAGGAGTGCAAGGAAACAGGTTATGTCAGGATGGTAAATGATGGACGATATAAGGTTAAGGGGCGGTTACATACGTCTATAGGACTAGGTAGGTGTACGTACCTTCCAGAGCCTCTCTACAGGTAAACTGGGTGTAATCGTGATAGATAGGACGTGTCTCGTTGAACCAGCGAATCACAAGTTGGCGGGTTTTTTCTGATAACTTGATGAGGAGATCAACATCACTTTCTTTGAGCTGTTTCTGAAGCACTAGCTGATATAAAGGATTAGACGTTTACCTATGTTTTTAATCTGATAACCGTTACCAATGATACTTATATCGATGATATGTTATTGGGTAGTTGTGACTTGTCTGTTAATTAACGGGAATGAGACTGCAGATTTTTTTTTTTTTACTAATTTTGCAAAAGAAATGATCGCCTTTTCTGGTTACCGCAATGATCCGTTATGTTTAAGAGAACGAAACACTCATTTTTCTGTATATCTGTAGATCTTTAACTGTATCTCAGGCAGCAAGTAATATATACTTGTATTGACAATTTGCAGGTAAATGATTGGAATATTGAAAATTCCTTTCACTATGAACGCCGTGTGACCAATCGACACTAGTTGCTGACCAGTCTCCGCTTGGTTTTAATCGGTCACCAAAGATTCACTGACCAATCATAAAGAGCCGGATGTGTGGGATCAAGCAGTGGATGGTATTCCTTAATTCGAAATATAATCTAACTTCGTTATCTAGAAGTTGGCCAGGACAATGGAGAAATTTCTATTAAAGTGAGTTCGAATACTTGGTGCGAGGTTTTGCCCGGACCTACGACATGCTTCAGAGTAAGCTATTGGTTGTATCCGTCAGAACGATTGCAAACATCTAGGCGCGCTGTGGAGTGAGTCTCGTTTTCTTATGGAGGTGCTTACCATATTTACATATCGCCAAGTAAAACGTTTAAATTCTGTCTAAATGCCAACGCTTGGAAAAAGGATGATTAAGAAATCTTATATTTTGTGATTCTTTAACTTAACAGGAAATCGTGTGCCATTTTCTAAAATAGATTCTTCCAACACCACAAGACAGAAGATATGTAAGTGACGTTTCGATGATCATACTGACACCTTGATTTTTTAAACGTCACCCACAAATTTCCCTCTGATTGTAAGATAAGAAAAATCTATTCACACATAAACCTACCATCTCAAAGAAAATGTTTCATAACATATGGCAGCATAATTTAAGTTGACGGGAAATTCATAACAAATTCCTTGGTGACGCTTATAAACATTGTACGTACATAAAGTACATTAAGAAAATTAAGAAATTTAAAAAAAATAAAACTTTTGATTTAAAATTGTTGGATAAATATTAATACAAAATCTAAGTTTATTTTTTTTATCCTAGGATACTGAACTTACATTCCAGCAGTCCATTATGTCGATACCCGTGAATAATTCTTTGGCGAAGTTGGGTCTGACAGCTGTAGGAAAGTAGTCGTAATAACCGGCGTTTTTAACTCCGTTCTAAAAAAAATACAACTTTTTGTAATCAAAACCGAGTATCTAATACCTTTCTATATATCACAGAAATTGACAGTATTAGTTTTTAAGTCCACAATTCTTAGATTTGAATCTCTCGACTAGAAAATGCGAATCCTTTTCCTACCCAATATAAAATGTTTTCTCCATATTAGCTTTTAGTGCAAGTCTTTTTTCTCCCATGCTTTGATATACTTCATTATACACAATTCTTTGATTCCAGTTATTTTCGTTGGTTTCCCACCTGTGATATGCGCATGACTTCTTCACACTCCTCCTTTGTAAAGATATCGTCCATCACTACACGCTTATCATGCTTCAATGACTCTCCGGTCAGTGTGACGTCACCACCTACATCATACATAAATCAGTAGTGTACTGTTCTACAATGAATAACACGACCTATAATATTGGATTTTTCTTATCTTGTCATGTTACCACTGATATGATCTAATTTTATGCTATTTATAATCACAATACTTAGTATGATTGCGAACTAAGCCTTCTTTTGCAAGCAATTTACGCTCGAAAATGTCACGATCAAAAATCACTTTCGCGAAATTTAATTGTCATGAATTAAGGCATGGATGATAAATATGTAACAAGGTATTACATATAAATCTGGCCAGTATTGCCTCGAATTTGTTGCGATGAGAAAATCGCCAAAGTCATCATCCGCGAAAGAAGGTAGGTTTACTGTAATGTTTCGTTATATTTTCATTTTTGTTGAGCAAGAATTAAAAGTGATAATATTGAACATTGTACCGATCAGTTCGCCATTAATACTAGTATTTTTTTTTATGTTAGTGACGATTCACCCGATATCTGAAAGAGTCCGTATCGATAAATGTGTCCATGACACAGGACTACACAACAGATGTACATACTATCTGTATACCAAATTTACGTTACAAGACATGTCCTGTATCATTATTCAAATAGAATGAAACAAATCATTTTAAATTGGAGGGAGTTAAAACGACTTCGGACTGTATTACTCTGTATAAATTGTTCATGTTGATAGAGGTTCCTAATTAAAGATTACCAAAAACTCGAAATAGTTGGTGTTACTGGTATAAATGATCTATATATATCTATATTGTACATATCTAATCAACATACTGACAGACATTTGTACAGCTATGTCTGTTAGCGAGGAACCAATGAACAGGTAGGAGTTCTCATTTTGGTACACTTCATTTAAGAATATTTTCGAATGGGACGTCTTTAGTTGGTTTATAAACATAAGGCAATTAACACGGAAGTAATTCACAATATAAAATCATGGCGTGGACTGTAATCAGATACAGCTCAACCTCGTTAACTCGAACTTGTATAATTCAAGCACTCCGTTTATTTCGAATTATAACGCGGATACGTTTTCCCTATGGTTCTGTAGAGGTTCGACTGTATTTGTGCTTCATGCTTTCCACATATTCTACAAACGGCTAAATGCACCAGTTTCTGCTATGTCATTCACAACTACTGATTAATCGTGATCGAAGCTTAGTCCATACAAAAATCAAAAGGTTGCTGAAGCTTTGTCCATACAAAAATCAAAAGGTTGCCGAAGGTTTGTCCATACAGAAATCAAAAGTTTGCCGAAGCTTTGTCCATACAAAAATCAAAAGGTTGCCGAAGCTTAGTCCATACAAAAATCAAAAGGTTGCCGAAGCTTTGTCCATACAAAAATCAAAAGGTTGCCGAAGGTTTGTCCATACAGAAATCAAAAGTTTGCCGAAGCTTTGTCCATACAAAAATCAAAAGGTTGCCGAAGATTTGTCCATACAAAAATCAAAAGTTTGCCGAAGATTTGTCCATACAAAAATCAAAAGGTTGCCGAAGATTTGTCCATACAAAAATCAAAAGGTTGCCGAAGATTTGTCCATACAAAAATCAAAAGGTTGCCGAAGCTTAGTCAATACAAAAATCAAAAGGTTGCCGAAGCTTTGTCCATACAAAAATCAAAAGGTTGCCGAAGATTTGTCCATACAAAAATCAAAAGGTTGCAACAAAACGACAATACTTACGCAAGGTCTTAAGTAGGTTATTCAAATTACGCGTGACATTAAACCATTGCAAACTCTCAAGTCTTGAGAAGGAGTCACTATCGTCCAAACCCCGCGATTCAGTTTTGATGAAATGGTTTTCCTGGAATAAAATATATAAAACCAGCTGTATTTCTTGTTCTACTATATAGTATTCTAGCTATAACTCTCTCTCTCTACGGAGGCAATATTAACAAATAGAATGATACCTCTGCGATGTTCTACCACGTCAGATAAAAATTACCACGAAAATTCCGTAAGGATAACAAAATTTCGCTTAATTGACGACTCCATGTAAATCTAGAGCAAGCTGAATTATTTCACGTTTTCAACCATAAAGCGTATTCAAAATATAATGCTTTTGCAAAATTTGTTGATATTTTTCCCTCGTTTGTTAACATATCCCTATTTCCTTGCTGTTTTTGTTTTCAATGTTATAACATGTAATTTAAATGATCGACCATTTTGATGTTTATTTTCCGTCAATTAATACATACTTCAGTATTGTGTGAAATCACTCCTTCGCCTCCTTGACCACGGTATTTAGATCTTTCGTGGTTACTCCCTAATATCTCATCGAGTAAATATTCAATATGTTTTCTTGAGTCAACATAACGTATAGCCTCCTGGTTGATGTCACAGACACATGCAAAAAAACAGATTAAATCGTCACAATAGTATGATACAACAACAAGACAATTAGTAAGCCATGAAATAACTAGTGTAAATAAGAATTTACAAGATTTAACAACGAATGCAGATCAGAGATAAATCTCATTCGTCGCTCCATCAAGTTTCACATCAAATAAATCACAATCAAGGAACCACATTCACACAAATAAGACCATTGTCCCACAACAAATAAGTCATTGTCTCACACCAAAATAGACCATTGTCCCACATCAAATAGGTCCATTGTCCCACACCAATTAAATCATTGTCCCACATCAAATAAAGCATTGTCCCACAACAAATAAAGCATTGTCCCACATCAAATAAAGCATTGTCCCACAACAAATAAATCAATGTCCCACATAAAAAGACCATTGTCCCACAACAAATAAAGCATTGTCCCACAACAAATAAGTCATTATCCCACATCAAATAAAGCATTGTCCCACATAAAAAGACCATTGTCCCACAACAAATAAGTCATTATCCCACATCAAATAAAGCATTGTCCCACATAAAAAGACCATTGTCCCACAGTAAAATAGAACATTGTCCCACAGTAAAATAGAACATTGTCCCACAACAAATAAATCATTGTCCCACACCAAAATAGAACATTGTCCCACAGTAAAATAGAACATTGTCCCACAACAAATAAATCATTGTCCCACACCAAAATATACCATTGTCCCACACCAAATAAACCATTGTCCCACATAAAAAGACCATTGTCCCACAGTAAAATAGATCATTGTCCCACACCAAAATAGACCATTGTCCCACAGTAAAATAGAACATTGTCCCACAGTAAAATAGAACATTGTCCCACAGTAAAATAGAAAATTGTCCCACAACAAATAAATCATTGTCCCACACCAAAATAGACCATTGTCCCACAGTAAAATAGAACATTGTCCCACAACAAATAAATCATTGTCCCACACCAAAATAGACCATTGTCCCACATAAAAAGACCATTGTCCAACAACAAATAATCATTATCCCACATCAAATTAATCATAGTCCATATCAAACACCAGTATATAGCAGTGCTATGGTAACGATAGGCTGGCCGGATGATGATTGATATATGGAACTTTTGTGTGTTTAAATTAAAATTTCAAACAACTTAATACCTTTCGAGGCGTTATTTCCGAATCGCTCTTTGGAAATTTCTTTAAGTAAGTATTTCTGAATTTCTGAACCCGTTGATCTTCAGGCTTGAATGCGAGGTATGTAATGGCCGCTTCGATAGCCTGAGTGTAGTCTTCAGCTAGAATTTGTGATAAAAACAAATTTAATGTTATTTTCGCTCTTTTGTTGATCAAACCATTAGTGTATTTAAGCTTCTGCAATAATTTCCAGTATCAAAAATGTTTTATTGTTTTCACGGTTTACAATGAATCAAATATATCTGAATTTGGCTGCTGAAATTTATTCTTGATTGTGTATATATCAGTAGTTTTTAAGGCTTCATTTCATAGCATTATCGTGTTATAAAAATATATTTCACCAGCAACTTTTCATTTTCAGATCCAGACGAGATAAGAAAAAAACCCTCCAAACTTACTTTTGGCATATGCTGCCTGTAGGAAGAGATAGTGATCCGTGAGATAATCGGAATAAGTTTGGCCATACTGTTGACTTAAGGTGTCCTCACAGTCGCGTTGACATTGAAGGATGTCTGTTATTCCATCTATGTAACATTGCTAGTTGTTTTAATATGTACGATATTTAACAATAAGCAACAACCAAACATCCTTATACTTATCTGGAGATGACATGTTCCTTTATATATAGGCGTTATTACAAAACTTGGCCCAATTAAGGACATATATTTGGATATACATTGTTCCAATTTGTAGGCATATTTATAATTGATAATGCCACAATTATTCAATTATATTCCATTCAAAAGGTATTTCCATAAATTTTGGACATTATTCTATTTTACAGTTATTTCTATGTTTAATTCAACAATCAATTTCCGATAATTTTTTTATACAAGATGTGGACTCTATATCGTGAACGTGTACACTACCTACTAATATCTGTGTAAGTCCTGATGATGTACTGGTGTAGCCTATGTCACACTGAGCTTGACATCTCTCGCTTTCTATGTAGTACTCCTTCAGTGCAGCTTCAAAATGTTTCACAACATCAGTCCATTTACCTTGTCGATAGGCTACCTCTCCTTCCCTTCGGTGTTTCTGATTGTACGTGGAATCAAGTAAATACATAGGACGTATGAAATGTACTCTTGTTCAATGAAACATTACATTCGATATTCGAGTGCATACAGTATAAAGCTTTATAAATAAAACTCGATATAAAAACTTGTTAATTTTGTCGTATTACTGAAAAATATATATCAGTAAGATTTCTTTTCTTTCAACAACATCTTGATTTCCTTGTCTGTTTTGTTCAACACAGCGTCAGAATACACTTATGGAAGTCAAAAGCTCAATATTTCAACTTTGATCAAACTTTTGACAATAGAAATAAAAAAATACCGAGCACTGTAGGCAAATGATGTGCATCTCTACTGGTGGACCATACATGACATGTCTATTTTTTTTAACTAACACGATTCAGAATACCTAGCACGGATTTCCAACCAATGGTCCATATATATGTATTGTAGTGACTATGATACATATATATGGACAGTGGGTTAGGAATTCGTGCCAAGTCCCTGTCTCACAATAACACATATATATGTACAGTGGGTTAGAAATTCGTGCCAAGTCCCTGTGTCACTATAATACATATATATGGACAGTGGGTTAGAAATTCGTGCCAAGTCCCTGTGTCACTATAATACATATATATGGACAGTGGGTTAGAAATTCGTGCCAAGTCCCTGTGTCACTATAATACATATATATGGACAGTGGGTTAGAAATTCGTGCCAAGTCCCTGTGGTTCAGAATGAAGTCGATAATAAAGCTAATGATCTTATCCAATACAAAAAGTACTGTTATTAGTCCTATCACGAGTTTGTTTCCACCTCCCTGTCTATATTATGACACCTAATCTGGTCAGTTTTGATTTCATGCAGAAGTCAGTGTACGATCCATTTTCACTCACTCTTTGGTTGTTGTATCTATTGTATTGTATCTCATCATCAATTTGTTTTAAAAGCTGTTATTTAATTATGTGTCTTTGTACAATTCTATAATTAGAAAACAAACGACTTTGATGAATTCGATAGATAGATTGTCGTTCATGATCATTGTTACCATATAAGGTCGCTCCTCCATATCAATGATCATGTGATCGAAGATGTAGTTCTCGTATCGATATACTGCTAGCATGGACAGGACGTCATCCGAACTGGGATTACGGAGGAGGAACGTGTAGGCTGCCGAGGCTGCATTTTCTGCCTGTCCGATCTACACAAATCAACAATATTTCAAAGTATAAACGTAACTGATAAATATTAGTGTATTTGTTCCCTATGAAAATGTGGTCTTTTTCAGTAAAGGTAAAATCTGTGCAAACCGAGATGAGTGTGCGGGAAAAAAACATAAACTGTTTCCATGTAAGTATGTAGATCTATAGATAATGAAGTTTGTGGACGTCCCCGTCTATATTTAACTATTACCTTTTGATTACTAAAAATTTTCCTTTTCCGTCTCATAGGTTAAACGATTAGGCTCTTAGCATCACTATCGGAGTCCTAGTAGGAAAAACAGATTCATAAAGCAATTAAAGTCATTGTTTGGCTCTACTAAGCCTTAATATCTACGTTTGCATTAAAAGGTGCTATTCACTTGTGAGTTTGCAAAATCATCTATGCTTTCGGTGTGTATATAGGTGTGTGTAGCTAGACAAGTGTACGTGCTGGTTATGTTGTTTCTCTTACGAAATATTTATATCAAAGAAGGATTTCAACCATAGAATCTTGTTTATATTTTAAAAACAATACGTGCTTTTTGAAGAAACATATACGTGGTTTTTTTTTCTTCACCCTGTGTTATTGTCAACTGAAAAGCGTAAAAAATCTGCTATAACATCAAATTTTATCCACCGTTTTATTAAAAAGGGCGAGAAATGAGCAAACGTTAAACCGAGACGAAATGTTCTCCGTACACAACACACTGTACAAATAAATCTAGTGTCTAACTAACACTTAATGCTTATATGTGTGTAATTATACTTGAAATAAAAAAAATACTGGATGTCAGAAAGTTTATCACAGCAGGTAAACATCTCAGACACTATCATGTGAACAGATATACGACAGGATACAAGCACAATAGTATACCAGCAATGCTATAGTATAGAATACTTATTGTCTCAGTTTTAACTTGTAGTGACATTAATGAATTATTAAAGTATAGATCATGCTTAAACATAGTTTTTGCCGGAGGCTGGAGAGATCCAGGACCGAAAATTTCCGTGTCTATGTCTTTCCGTAGCTTGGTTAATATACTCCATCATAACTGTCACGGTATACTACATATTGTCATTACCACGCATTGTCACATGAATAGTATGTTACAGTGTCCAAAACCTTACTTTTCTAAAACAAAAAAAAAATCAAAACAAAAATAAAAAATATCAACACAGATCTACCTAACGAAAAGACCAGGAAAAAAGCAAATTAACCTTCCTCAAAACTCCGATTTTCTGAAAGTTTGTGTCCTTGAAATTAACTATACTTTTACTTGTAATATAAAGGCGTTCTATTATAGTCAATAGCAGGTTAATAGCTCAGAAGATTGATCTAGCATGAGAGTTCAGCAAGGCAGAAAGGAATTTCAGAAACACAAGGGGATAAGATACAGAAACAAATTATTTACTTTCATAGCTCAAATAAATTTATACTGAAGTGCAAAAGAAAGTATACATTGAAGCTGGGGATGACGTATTTCCAATAGAGACATCAGTCACTAAACATAGATGTCATCATTGGGAAATCCAATGTATTGACCAATCACATTTGATAATACAATGAAATAACAAATAATTATCATCAAGTTCATTCATTTTTGAAACAGTCATTATTTTTCTGCATGTTTACTTTTGCACCAAAGACTCGCGAAATCAAAAATATTTGTAATCCACCAACTGAATTTCATCCTAACAAATATGGGGCTTGTCTTAAACAGTTAACTCTATACAAAATGGTCATGTTCCTTTAAACAAATGGCGAGGCAATTAATAAACAATATGATAAAACGTGCATCATTCTAAGTACAATGGAAATCTACTGAATTTCTCTTTACTGAAGAACAAAAATAAATTTCCTGATATTTTGAAAAGATGATACGAAATATAACCATTTGAAAATGATTTTTTCACTGCATCACTTTTGTAACGGCAGCATGTAATATATCAGTCGTAACGATCAGTTTTAAACTGAAACAGTAGACCATGTAATGAGTCTACTTTTACCATACATGTATGTGGATATGATTTACCGTAAATATCGTGATTTATGTTTTCATGTATATAGTGTACTGTGTTATGTTAATTTAATTAGTTTATCATAATAATGAATAGAATTCAAACACAAACCAGAAAAGTAACATACGGTGTGATCTTTTAAGGAATTATTTTATCTAGATAATTACTTAATTGTGTATGTTTGATACCATGTAGCAAGAACAAAGACAAGTATGTCTATTGCTTTAATAAACAAGAAATGGATATCGCTGTTGTTAGTGCTACTGAAGCTGATATTGCCAACAGTATTAATAAATAACATTTCGGCTCCACTTAAAAACACGGATTTTAAGAAGAAACAGTGGTAAATGATATATATTCGTCCTATATTAGTCAGTCTATACGTTCCAGATTTTGCATCAAATTTCGAACTGATATCCGGTTCAGACATGAATATATATAAGTCTACATTGAGCCTCACTATAGTTATTTGATGGTGTGAGACGAAGCTGTCATTTTATTTCAGTTCCTTTTACAATATTTATGCATGCATATGATCAAATATGATATGAGTAACTTGTCACATGTGTATTTATTGTCGAGTACATAGTTCCTATACAATATTGGGACACTGTTGGAAATATTCAATCTGCTTTGAAAAATATACGTATGTCGGTATTAATACCGAGAAAGTATTCATGGTCAGGATATATACGCTTATATTTTTAGCCAATTATGAAGTATATCTATGTAACAAGACAGTTAATACTGGCGTGACCTTATCTAGTGTATGATATTTCTTTGTGCGTGTGTGTGATATTATTACATTATTATGTATGTGTGTATAATATCATTACATTATTGTGTATGTGCGTATAATATTATTACCTTATTGTGTATGTGTGTATAATATTATTACATTATTGTGTGTGTATATAATATTATTACCTTATTGTGTATGTGTGTATAATATTATTACCTTATTGTGTATGTGTGTATGATATTATTACCTTATTGTGTGTGTGTGTATTATTACCTTATTGTGTGTGTGTGTATGATATTATTACCTTATTGTGTGTGTGTATAATATTATTACCTTATTGTGTATGTGTGTATAATATTATTACCTTATTGTGTATGTGTGTATGATATTATTACCTTATTGTGTGTGTGTATAATATTATTACCTTATTGTGTATGTGTGTATGATATTATTACCTTATTGTGTGTGTGTATTATTACCTTATTGTGTGTGTGTATGATATTATTACCTTATTGTGTGTGTGTGTATGATATTATTACCTTATTGTGTGTGTGTGTGTATAATATTATTACCTTATTGTGTATGTGTGTATGATATTATCACCTTATTGTGTATGTGTGTATAATATTATTACCTTGTGTGTGTGTATAATATTATTACCTTATTGTGTGTGTGTGTATAATATTATTACCTTATTGTGTATGTGTGTATAATATTATTACCTTATTGTGTATGTGTGTATAATATTATTACCTATTGTGTATGTGTGTATGATATTATTACCTTATTGTGTATGTGTGTTTGTATTGTGTATGTGTGTATGATATTATTACCGTATTGTGTATGTGTGTTTGATATAATTTCCGTATTGTGTATGTGTGTATGATATTATTACCGTATTGTGTATGTGTGTTTGATGTAATTTCCGTATTGTGTATGTGTGTATGATATTATTACCGTATTGTGTATGTGTGTTTGATGTAATTTCCGTATTGTGTATGTGTGTATGATATTACTACCTTATTGTGTATGTATATAATATCATTACCTTATTGTGTGTGTGTGTGTGTGTGTGTGTGTGTGTATAATATTATTACCTTATTGTGTATGTGTATATAATATTATTACCTTATTGTGTATGTGTATAATACTTGTGTTTCCCGCGAGTCATAATACTGTCCAGATTTACAATGTATAACTTTACTTTTTCATGCGTGTACTTCACCTGATTTTGTGTGTCATAACACTACCTTATCTTATTATTTGTAAATAACAATATAACTTCGTTTAGGATTATATATCAACTTGTTGGTATATGTGTACTTCATCCAGTTATGTGTATACAGAGACGTATGTAACACATTGTGTTATATACCTATCTGGTGTAATATATTCTCATTTAGTATTCATAATTCTTTATATGTAAACTGTTATTTTATTATTAATAACATTACCTTATTTAGGCAGTGATGCAGGTATAAATAAGGTTTCCTGAGCTCAAACTCTGTGGGGAAGTTAGATTTGTGTACACTGCCCATCATCTGTCCTCTTGCAGATTTCTGGCACGGAATAAAACAATTTCGTTCTGATAACAGATTTCCCTTCAAGATATACTCCGCCAAAGATTCGCTCTTTAAGTCTATATGAGGAAGGACATGTTCCTTTTTACATTTGACAGCACACTCTAGAAGTGTTTGTTTGTAACGGTTATATAAGCCAATAGTGTTTCCCATATATTTAACACATGAGCTCCATTGCTCTTTCTGATGTGCAATTTTCCCTTTGGAATACATTTTCGTAATATTATCATCCGTGTCAGCACAAAACACTGGAACCACACTAAGATACAACATCACTAAAACAAAAAGCGTCCTTTCCTGTCCAGACTCCGCCATTCTTGCCGAAACTTTGCAGGTACATACACAACGTAGGAGTATATATGATAATACTGATCACAAGCATACCTGTGTTCGTGGCGGCTTGACATAAAGCCGTGTGCTTGAGGCGCAACGGAATATTGACACCTCCGTCAATAAACAATAACTTATGTCAATGTCACACAATATGCTGGTCACTTACTGTCAACCACTATACAACAGTATGATATTTAGTGAATCAGTTACATAATTTGATACAGTATTACACGTGTACTATCAAAATACATGTACATATTTTTATCGGGTTTGCAAAATAAATTTCTCCATTATAGGGCGTGGATCCAGGATTTACAGCTTAGAG